TTTTTTTTTTTTTTGGTGATAGTAAAACATAGCTTTGTAAGTACATAATTTGAATTATGTAATTACGAATCCATCTATGAAACTTTAATTTTGCATTTTTTAGGTCATTTTTTCGCATTTTTAGGTCATATTTTGCTTTTTTTAGTTCATTTTCTAGTATTTTTAACCAAATTCTGTCAATTAACTAGTTTGAAAACTTTTTTTTATTTTACACAGGCTGGATATATTATGTCAAATTTTTTAACTTTTTTTTATTAAATAAACACTTTTTTGTACTAATATTTAATATCCTGTACCTAATATTAATATAAATATAAAAATTAAATTAAAAACCATTTTAAATGAATTTTATACTATAATTTTTGGCATTTTATATTCCTATTTTTGCATTTAAGTGCATATTTTATTGCATTTTTAAGGTTTTAGTGCATTAAATTCATTCAGCTATATTATAATATTATTATAGACAACAATAATTGATTCGTTTCGATTCGATTTCGTCGGACGTCGGTCATTGACGGGCAATCGTCGACATTTGTATGCGTGAGCAATACGTAACTAATATTTTGCTTTTTTTAGTTCATTTTCTAGTATTTTTAACCAAATTCTGTCAATTAACTAGTTTGAAAACTTTTTTTTATTTTACACAGGCTGGATATATTATGTCAAATTTTTTAACTTTTTTTTATTAAATAAACACTTTTTTGTACTAATATTTAATATCCTGTACCTAATATTAATATAAATATAAAAATTAAATTAAAAACCATTTTAAATGAATTTTATACTATAATTTTTGGCATTTTATATTCCTATTTTTGCATTTTAAGTGCATATTTTATTGCATTTTTTAAGGTTTTTTAGTGCATTAAATTCACAGCCCTAGTTATAATATTATTATAGACAACAATAAATTGATTCGTTTCGATTCGATTGTCGTCGGACGTCGGTCATTTCGACGGGCAATCGTCCGGACATTTGTATGCGTGCAACCGGTGCCGACGAATGGAACGACTGTCGAGTCGGCCCGCGCGACAACCGGTCACCACGCGTTATCACGTTTTCCGTCCGATGTTATCGTGCGCAGTTGTAGCCGTCGGTGTAGTTATCGTCCCGGAACAATAACAATAACAGTGTTATTGTTGTTCCGCGGGTGTTGCGTGTTTACCACCACCGCCGGTGCCGAACGAATACAGTCGTCGCGCTATCGCGGGTCATCGCTCTGATGCGTTCCGTCACGGATGCCCACGATCACACCGTCCGTCCGTAGTTGCATTGTCCACCCACCGCCGTCGTACGTGTGGGGGCCTCGCGTAACGGCCTGATAACGTCGGTGGCGGCGAACGTTATCAACGCAACGCAACAACGCAGAACAATAGTGACCATACATTTTCATAAATTATAATAATTTATTACGGTTCGTAGCTAATCATCGTCATTATTACTATCATCATCATCATCATCATAATCATTTTTTTAATTGGAATACGCTGGTGCGGTATAGAAACTAATAATTATCGTTCGTCTGGATTATAAAACGCGCGCACACACATACGTCACACAGACGGCGACGACCAATTGGATCGACTTTCGTGGTTCGTTTGCGTAAAATTGTCGTACACCTCTTCGTCTCGTCGTCGTCTCGAGGCACTAGGCAGTAATTATTATTGTCGTATATTTTACTAAAATCGCCGGATCGCTTGGTGCTTGGTAGTCGCACGTCTGTGACGAAATCGTTTTGATAATCGTGCCCTCGCCGCCGCCGCCGCCGCCGCCACCGTTTGATCTCTGTGGGTGAGCTGCCCCCTTTTGTGTTTGGTGCGCGTACTCGTTTTTTTGCCGCCAACTCGCAATACTTATGGGTTGGATAGCATAACGTGCGTAAAGCTTTGGAGAAGAACCGTCACAGCGATCAATGTAATTTATGGTCTGTCCAAAATAAATACTCGAGGACATAGTATAAGTGGTAAGTGTTTTTTTTTTTTTTTCCCCCTTTGTCGAACGTTGGCCAGCAACGTCTTAAATTGCTTTCAATATAACGACACGACACGTCTATGATTGTGTGAATAGTATTAAAAATATTCTTTTGGTTCACCATTCTTGTATGTCGTGTAAGCACGTTACTACGAAAAATATCCGAATTTTATTACAATATACAATCTAATTAAATTGTATATTTGCATGTGTTACTAGCTACTAAGCAACACCATTCCCATTGGTGTCAACAGTGAACATCATGACTGAACCTTTGCTGTCTTAGGCTGGTGAGCAAGTGCAGTAATCTAAAGCTTTTTATTTAACAGACGGTAGCAGTAGCGTCTACGCACATCCTCTACATTACAGCCACTACTTCTAGAATGAAGGTATTGTATTTGACTTTATACATCAAAATTTATGAATATATAGACATATGCATATGTTGAAAATATAAGAGGCTTTTGTGATTAATCTTATTATTTTTTTATCTTCATTATGGCATTTCACTATATAAAATTGCCAAAAAAAAATTTATTAAAATAATGTTATCATACCTATATATGACGAAAAATAATAAGTACCATAAATATATTTAACAATTCATTTTTACTATTATATTACAATTATAATTTAACTAGTTTCTTCTATTAATTTAGTATATACTGGGGTATATACCTACATATATTATGTAATTTATAATTTAGAGCAATAAATTTCAAGTGAAATGTTGTTAATCAAACAAAATAATTGTTGTTCTTCACCCATTTTTAAAATCATATACAGGTTAAGTTGTTAATCTTTTCTAAATAAAGTTGTTACCCCTAGGTTTTAGTATTATATGATTTTGTGGGTGAACCTGGCTCATCAGAATTATCAGTGACTGCTGGTGAGACATTATTGGTAAGCCGAAAAGATGTTGGTGAGGGCTGGTGGGAAGGAACAAACACATCTGGCCGCACAGGCTTGTTTCCAGCTGCATATGTTGAGGTTTGTTTTTATTTTTATTGTTGTATTTTTTATTATTGTTAATGTGTATATTAAACGCCAATAGGAAATCAAAACCAAAGTAGATGACAGAAAAGATGAAAGCAAACCACCGCCAGCTTTACCACCACCACCATTACCACCATCAACAGATCCATGGGAACTTGACGATCAACAAAATGAATTTTATTCACAAGTTCCCGGCAGTTACAATCAGCAACAGAATACATATCAGCAGGCTAGTACTTTATATCAAATAAATATAAAATATGAATATTTATTTTTTATATTCAAACTCTTTAAAATTATTTACCTTAGAATTTGAACTCTAATTACCTATATTAATAAGGTTGAAAATTAAATAAATTTTTTCTTTTTTTTTGCTTTTAAGTGAACATAATTTTAACGTTTTAAAAATATACTATGCTTTCAATATTTTTTGATTTAATTCACAAAAAATTAATTATACAATTATACTTAATATTAAATATATACAAAAGGGTTTATGGTCATTGATCACTAATACACTTTATTTTAAATTTAGCTTTTCTTTCTTAAATCAAATTTAAATTATATAATTTTATAGTTAATCAAATTTAGTATATTTTGTATGATGTATTTATAATTTTTCTTGTAAACTAATTAATTAGCCATCATCCAATTATCAAACATATCTGAAATAAAAATTTTAGTGGTAAATTATTTTGTAATTAATTGTGTTTATAGTCACCTGATGATTTTTATGATGATGAATGGGATGACGATTCTGAGTATGGTGGTGGTAGTACTGTGACTTCATCTGCTCCTATACCTCCAACTATTCAGTATCCAGCTATAGGAACAAAAACGACATCGATAAGAAAAACAACAGGTACCTAAAAACGACTAATATCAGTATAATTATTTTTAAAGATAAGCCATTAGATTTTTGATTATTGTAAGCTCTCACAATTTATTAGTAATAATTTAATGATATTTAATAAAATATATTTAAAATTATTTATAATTATATATATTTTTTATAGGCAAGACGGTTGCAACAACTGGTGGCAGCAGTTCTCGGTTTTCCAAGTTGGTAGGTGGTGGTGATGCATCATATATAATGGGTGCTATTCAGCCACCTATTCACTTACCTGATACAGAAAACATTACAATTGTGGTACGTGGTGGTACTGGTGGTGGCCCCATGGCAGTGGATGTTGAATGGTGCCGAGACCCCGATAATGAACCACATGGATACCAGTGTTTGGTGGCATCTCCAAAGAAAGAATCAAAACTCAAAGGCCTAAAATCGTTTATTGCATACCAACTAACTCCTACAGTATGTTTTTATTCTACCCTTTTTATATCTATATTTCACTTGCTACTATTTACCATTTATTTTTGCTTGTATGTTGTAGTTTAATAATATTCAAGTATCTAGAAGGTACAAACACTTTGACTGGTTACATGAACGGCTATTGGAAAAGTACTGTTGTCTAGTGCCAATACCACCATTACCAGATAAACAAATTTCAGGTTAGATAAATCTATCATTTACTTTACAAATTTATCATTTATCCTATAGAAAATCTTTAATAAATAATATTGATTTACAAATAATAAAAATAACAATTTTGTAACAATGTTTCTAATTACACTTAGGTCGGTACGAAGAACAATTCATTGAACGCCGTAAACAGCAATTACAGGTGTTTGTAGATGCAGTATGCCGACATCCTGTACTATCACGAAGTTGGGTATGGCGGCATCACTTCATCACATGTACAGATGAGAAACGCTGGAAGTCAGGCAAGCGGAAAGCTGAATCACGAAATACGAGTGCTGAAACCCTCACTGGGGCTAATGTATTTTTTGTAATCAGAGTAGTGCCTGCGGATGGTAGTAGTGACCCCCCTCCAGCTATCAACCCAGCAATATTGTATGTATATTACAATGTTGTATCTAATTATTTATTTAATATTTTTACCATTTGATTTTTAAAGAGATCGCGAAGTAGACGGTTTTCAGAGATTTGTGACTGGATTAGAAGGAGCGCTGAAGAATATGGCACAAACAATTGCAGAACAGTCAAAACGTATGCAAACATGTTATAAACGTGATGCTCAACGATTAGGCCAGTCGTTTTACATGTTGGGTCACGCATATAGTGGTAAGAAACAATATATATTAGTATGACATTAGTGACTTGCTGATTCAATAATATGTTAACCTATTTTAAACATTTTTTTTTTTAATTAATTATTAATACTGTAGGCGCATCATCTTCATCAATAGGGGACACTAGTGGTAATGGCAATGTGATAAGTCTAACTACCCGACAACTGATGACAGCCCTAAAAAAAACTGGAGATGTATACAATGAGATGGGTGGCCGGTTGATGGATGAATTACCTGTCGCAGGATGGGACTCGTTTGCTGACATGCTACATGTGTACCGTGGCGTTGCAGGGGCATTCCCTGATATACTTGCTGTGCACAAGGTGAATTACAAACTTGTAGTTAATAATATGTGTTTGTATAAAGGCTATTGGTAACAAATGTTGCTGTATTTATTTTAATTTTTGTTTTTCCACTATTATGGATTTATATTTTTTACTGTTATTTATTGAAAATATTTTTTTTTCTACTCTCATAGAGTGCAGTGCAAAAACGGAAAGAATGTGAACGACAATACTCTGAAGGCTTACCAATTGGTGGTGGTGGTGGTGATGGAACTGGAGGATCGAGTAGTGGAGCATCATTATCAGGATCTGGCAGTGGCGGAGCTGTAGCAGTAGCTGATCCAGAACAACAGCGAAGGCTACTGCGTGAGATGCAGCGTCGTACTGATGTAGTGTCGTATGCTCTGTTAGCAGAGATTAATCAATTTCATCGAGACCATGTACTTGGCCAAATGGCTGGCCATGTTCGTCAATTATTACGTAACCAGATCGAATATTATAGAAAAGTTAGTAAGACATTTAAGATAATAATATTTGATGTCTGTGATTTTTTTGAAAAAAAAATCAAATTTATCAATATTGTTATGTGATAATAGCTTAATAATAATGATTGAAATGTATGAATATAATTTTAAAAAATGTGTTTATCACTCATATTTTCATTAATAATTTTATTTGTTATTCACATTTCACTAATTTTTGTTAATTACCATTAAAATAACATTATTAAGTTTTCACTTTCTTAAATATTAAATATTAATAAAATATAAATATTTTATTTTTCTCAGATTGCTGATAATTTAGAAAACGTTTTACACATGTATCCCGATAATGGTGATGAAGATTCTTTGGGAGTCGGAATGGACCATCATTATGATCAACAACAGTACAGCCAAGTAATAACTGATGATAATGCCCCTTATCAACACCAGTATTATTCAAATCAGTAGTAGTTATAGTAATTTAATGGAATGGGTAATATAAGACATGGTAAATAACTAGAATGCAATTGTTTTTAGAACTATTAATACATACCTATAATATATTAGGTATCATGATTAATATTTTAACTATCTTTGTAACTGTTAATATCACGCTAATATCAATGAAAAACACTACAATTTTTATTAAAATAATATTTTTGGGAAATTTACACCATAACTATTGCTAGTGCTTTTACTATTATTATCCTTAAATGAAGCATTTTAGCTTGTTAATAGTTTTTAATAATATTTTATTATTATTTTCTTTGTTATTTCAATTTATTACCTTGAATTAGTTATATTACTATGCTTTTGCCCATTGTTATTATTAATATTATTATTGGTTAGATTTATATGTGTAAAATATTGTTATTAACTTATTTAAAATTCCTTAGTTTGACTTATTCAAATATCATAAAAATGATTCAATGGTCAAAAACATAATGTGTATGTTGATTAATACCTATTAAGTTTATAGAAATATTAAATAATTACATTCTACTCTCAAATTAAGAATAGCACTCGACAGCCAATTTGTGCCATGCGCATGGCTTAATTACACAGTAGGTGTATGTACAGATGTTTACTTAGTAGGAGTGACATGGGTGTGTCAGACCACTGCCCAACAAGAACTAGTTGCTTTGAGGTTTACTTTTTGATTTGAATATGATATAATTAATTATTTAATGTAACATCTAATATTTTTTGACCCATCGTTGGTGACGCTATGAGTATTTCGCTCACACATTTAGCATTTTTAGAACCATTGGTTTATATTTCATTCGATCGTTACAATATTATATAAATGCTTCATTGAGTTATTCTCGAAAATAAACACGGAAAACATTAAATGTTATAAATAAACTAACAAAGTTATTGAAGTTCAATGTTGTCGTACATGTAATAATAACGTGTATATTAGCGTTGGCTCGCACGTCGCTGATCGCCTTACCGTATTATCTAGTTTTTTATTATCATATTATTATATTATTTTATTATTATCTCATTATATTGTTTTATTATTTTGCTTTAGCAGTTCAATATTGATATTTATCAATACCACGATATATAAATTTGTAGGCTCATACATGTATTTTAATAGGTGAGAATTTTGTTAACACATCACTAACGGTGTTATAAAAATAATGTCACCAACGACGGGTTAAAAATCTAAAAGATCATAGCTGATTTAGAATTTTATTATCCTAATTATCCTAATAGTTTTTAATATACTAGTAAAATAATATGATATTTATTTTAAATCCTTTGTGAATCTTCGTTGACAGTTAAATTTGAAAGAAGTTAATTCTGGAGATCTGAAATTGTATGTAACATTTATTTATCAAATTCAAATAATCATAATTTATTAAAATATCCAAATTTTTCATATATGTACTGACCGAAAGAATATATAATTATTAACATTAAAAATTTAATATAAATAATATATTTCCATTGATAACAGTTAACATCTAATAAGTGATAATTTTGATTTGAAACTTAATATTGTTGGGACCATTTTTTTTATTATTATTATTATTATAAGCTATTATTGTATGAATTTTTCCAATTTAAATATAGTATTTATTTATAATATAATTCTAGGAATATATTTATTATATTTTTATAACATAATAATTTTTAGGTATATTTATATATTTTATTTTTATTTATTTTACTTGTGCCATCATAATGGATGTTAATTATTATGTTTATTTATATGTATGTAAGTGTTTATGAATCATAGTAACTTAAAAGGGTATTTGAAATGCATGTTAACTGAATTTATGTATAATATTAAATAATTTACTTAAAATGAATATGTATCCTGTGGCTAGTCTGTTATATTTGTCATTATTTTAAGTTATTACCATTTTTTTCTGTTTCATTCATTAGGTATACTACCAGACCCGGACTGAGGCACCTGTGCTACTTTTTTATAGCACAGTTGCGTACGCCTCAAATTTGTAATAAAATACTTAAGTTCTTTTTTACAATTAATGAGCATAAAAAAAGGTCTTTTATGTTGTATCTATGAATTGCCTGCCTATTATGAATAGTATTCTCCCAGTCCGGGCCTGTATACCACCTAAGTTAGAATCTTATCTTACTTACACTAATTTTTTTTTTTAGCTAATAATTATAAATTTTATTACACTTATAGTAAAATACTATATAATACAATTGTCTAATTATTCTATTTTTATACTACATACATGTATTTAATATATAATATGATCATTATAGCTATAATACCTGAATTAAAATATATTTGTATACTTATATGAAATTAAATCTTAATGGTACAATTTTGTTGTGGACAATACGTGATATTATTTCTTATATAATATATTCATCTTAATAACCCGACACTTGAATAAGTCCAAGTTTATCAATTGTCATTTGTCACCAGTACTACAATAATGGTTATGACTGGCGCACAACTGTGACAAAATTCAATTAAATATGCGTTCATTCAATTACAACGGTATATATTATACTAACTGATGACAGTGCAATAATTGAAATATTTATAACAAGTCGTTGGATTTATGTTTAAGGTAATTTTGCAAAGTTATAATGGTTAAACAAAACTGTATTTCTACAACTGTTGTGGCATTATTATTAAGTAATACTTTTAAAAAGTTTTGGATTAATTAATACAACAATAAAAATACAAAAGTTTATTGTTTTTAAATTTTTTTAAAAATTAATGAATTTTCATCACTACGTTTACGAATTTTTTTAGATAGGCACAAATATAATCGTGCGAAAAGAATATTTCATGTTATATCAAGTTATACAGCAGGTACTCGAATACCTACTTAATAGTTGTTGTGGCTGGTAGATAAGCCTGATGATGAAATAATAGTCGCATGCGGCATGCCAGTTATATATGATAGAAAAACAGAATTGTATGTTTCGCACATTATAATACTTACATAAGTAAATAAGTTATATAGTGTATCGTATCGAGTGCGTTAAAGCACGACTGAACGGACGTTATCGCCGTTTCCGTTCATCGGACTTAACACCGCCTACTACCCAGCCATCAACAGATTTTGCGCTCCACCACAACCCTCACCCATATCGACACTGCGGCAAACAGTCGTGTCGAGCGTGCAGCGTTCGTGTGTAGTGTGTGTGTGTACATGCGTAGTCGTGTTTTATGTCGGGCGTTCAACGACCGCGAATTCCGCAGTGTAATTCTACGCCCATACCGAGCTAACCGCGGAAAACTCCGATCAACGATATATCGGCCATCGGGCAACAGATCTACGATATCAAAAAATCGCCGGCCTACGAGCAGTACGAGCGCTGTGTATCCGGTCACAGATTTTCCAGTTCACTCTGATGACGCGTTCGGGTCAAACCGGTGAGTAAAACGCAGTTACGATTAAATACCAATAGATTTAATACAAAATAATCAATAGCTCAGTGTCTAGTACAGACGTTTACCGTTTAGTAAACTATTGACACAAGAAGAAATAAAAAAATTTATATATTATTTGGTGATGGCAGATGATATTATTACTAAATGCGGACGAGGACGCGATGTATACTGTATAGTGACAACTGATAGCCATTACATTGATACGACTCGGCTAGTATGAGTCAAACAAATTACCATGCCTAAATGCGCGCGTACAACGTCCGACAGATGGTGTATAAAATGTATACACAGTTATATTATTAGGATTTGCAATTATGACCGGCCGAGGTCGTGTAACCGTGTAGATTAGTAGGTTAGTACTTCAATCGGAGTTTTCGTGATGTGCCAATGTCGTCGCTATAATTTTAGATATTTTATAGTAATAACAGGTAAATGTATATTGAGTATTTTTCGTGAATTATTGTTGTGTGGGTATGCCAAATAGGTAACAACTTATGCTTTATGGGCGTGTGGCTCAATAATTATGGCGTACTCAGGATGAGGTGTACTGCTCATGTTCTAAGCCCTAGACTAGGGCGTATCTATTGGCAACCGATATTTGTATGCACTACTGCAGATTATAGTATAGATCAGTGGTTTTCAATCTTTTTAACAATGTAGCACACTTCTTCTTCTACAAAATTTTTGCGGCACACCAATTCATATAATACGTGAAGCATATATTTTTGTATGCAGAGCTGGCGCGAGCTATTTTGCCGCCCTGGGCTAAAATATAAATGCTGCCCTATTAAAACTAAATAAATAAAAAAATTAAATAATCATATGATACAAATTATGCAATAATATTGGTTTATCTAAAAACATTTATTTTCATAGTCATAATATTTTTGTCATAAACATAAAATTCAAGTATAAAATAGTCTTTACATAACACATAGATATAAATATACTAATAATATTAATATTAATACAATTATAAAATTGCGAGAGTTTTAGTTAAAATGCCGCCCATGAGTATTTAGACAAAAATTGCCGCCCTGCCTTCCGCCGGTCCTGTTTATATATAATACATATATATATATACAACATTAACTCCATCTATAGATATATCGCGGCACACTTCAAAGGCGCCGCGGCAAACCAGTGTGCCCCGATACACCAGTTGAAAACTACTGGTATAGATTCATATATTCAACCGTTTCGGCGCATTTTCTCATTTAAAGATAAATAATTAAATAGTGGGGCTACCGGGGTGTAGAGTCACTAACAACCAGGTAACAAAAATAGAACAAATTGCAGATTTATAGTATTGTTTAATAATAAATAAATAACAAATGTAAATAAAGCTAGTTGATAGGGATCATGGGATTATTGAGTCAGTTTCTTAAATACACTATTATTACAGTATAATTATGAACAGGATCTCGTTAGTGGGTACCCTATACGCTTATATTTCTTATAATTAGTTACAGTAACGATATTTGGGTAAATGGACTATAAAATATGTAATAGTATATAATAATTAGTGTGAGATAAACAACTAACATGATAAATCTATTAAACAGAAACGTTTGTAGATAAAAAATAATAGTTCCAGATAAACGATGGTTTTATTTATAAGTATTATAACCAATAACTTTAATTATTAGATAGCTTTACTGCTAATTTGTAATTACGTCTGTCAGTAATTATGTATACAATGCAATTGTTTGTAGTACAATGGGTAACAATTCTTCATTCTTCAATCCATAAACAATTTTATTATGTTTAGATTGTAACCTAAATGCATATAAAATATTGTTCATTTTAGAGGAATTCAATTATCTTATTTAGAACGCAGTTCAAAGAATATTATCTATTGAGAAATTACGTAAATCGCAAAAAACTCGAAATGAAATTTCACCTTATAATTTTTTTATAAAAAAACAAAATGAAACAGTAATGACTAGCAATATGTAATATACACTTTGAAGGTTATTGATATGCGAAGGGATTGTAATAATTTAAATATTAATAATTTATAGGCTACATCACGGTTGTTAAGCTTCTTTTTAACGCTATACAAGACTTGTCCGATGTATTCTTTTGATATTTTGTGTAAAACGGATTCAAACCGATGAACACGAAATTTTTACAGCAATCATAACTTGTACACAAAATCTCAAATATTGGGATTTGAAATGTTGCATCAACCATTAAAACCCCTCTCTGTTCACGCGTTTAAATATTTTATCATAATATGTCATATCAAATACATTGTTTAAAGTTAAATAAAATATTTTACCGTGTGAACGGGGCTTGACATAGGTCTATCGTACAGAACAGGTACCTATCAAAATATACCTTTAACGATATTATTATTCGAAGGTTGAATCACGTATCGTTGTGTCTCGGTATAGATCTTAAATGTGCTATGATAGTAATTCGTTATGAAGTATGGTTCAATGGTTGCCACCGCGTAGATTCAGTGTCCACATAAAATTCTTAATATTTGGCATCAAATAGTAATTTTGTTCAGCGATCAGTTGCCGTCGTTGTCTTCGTTGATAGCGGTTCGGCACCGTGATAACACGAGCACACCGCCTCCAAACAACACTACCACCACCACCCGTTATCGTATCCGAACAACAACGTCGACGGTGTTACTCCGTCTATTTTGTTACGGATTACGACTGTCGACGGCGTTCGGTGGTCTCGTTTTTCGATTGTTATTTCGTTATCGTTTACGCGTTCATTCCAATGTTTCAGTAAGCATTACGTGGACGAAGAGGCAGACGAGCGGGTCTGTTTTATAAGACCGCGCGTGTGCACTACACAGGTTCGTCTGGTGTAGTTCGCGAGGAGACGAAAATATAGCGACGACCGTGGGTTTTGTCCGTCGGGATAAGTCCGTGACGAGTACGACGGATCCATCGAACTGTGTGTGACCTTTCGTTGGTGTCTGTCATGTGTGACAACACTATCGATCCCGTAAGTAAAACAAATTGCCATTGGCTATTTATTTATTTCCTTACACTTTTGAGGATATTTGAGCTTGTCGTACAAACGTCGTCATATCGGAAAAAACATCACATCTGATTTAACACTATTGCAGCATACTGTTGCTTTCCATTTGCATGTACATAGCTGTAACCAGCATGTTGTACGTACTATAATTTTGTGTTATCGAACAGTGATGGTGTTTGGTATAATACCTAAGATTCTTGAAACCGTTTGGATAGTTGGTATATTATAACACCACGTTTAAATAAAATTGTTAAGTTATATTAAGGTGGACGCCACACTCATCTATGTTGTCTCTGTTTTACATATAATATGACAAATTTATATGTAGTTGAAATTTGTGGTTTTTGCTTTAATATTAGTCTTGATTGACTTATGATTAAACTTAAAGGTTAAAACATTATAGATATGTGTTCTCTTTCTGGGTTCTTGGGTTTTTAATTTTTAAATGATCTATAAACATTCTTTTATTATAATATTTTATAAGTAACTTAAAAATTAAAATACCTCATAAAAATTAACAGAAGAACAGAAATAAAGTTCTTAATTTTAAGTTTGATAATAGGTCAATTCATACTAATCAATATTCTCAATATTTAAACCAACAACGCAAAATTGATTCTATCGAACACAAATATACTATATTGCATGTTTATAGACTAATACAACACAATATGTGGATTATATCAAATTATATCCTTTTAATTTGGGAGCTAGGTACATGTAATATATAAATACTTTTTGTACCTTGCATTTGGCTTTTTTTACAATTGTTGAAATAAAATTCGCTCTAATGAACTATTTATAATTAATTGGATACCCATATTTGCTATTAAATAAATAAAACCTAAAATTATATAATTTTTAAGAATCTCTTGAATTAAGTCTATTTGTAAATTTGATATAGATGATAAAATTGTTAAGGTATTGAGAATATTTTTATAAATGTATAAATACCCACTTTTAAATTATTTCTTACAACCAAAGAAACAACTGTCTAATACTTATAAACTTAACTAAAACATCTACCATTTAGTATATACAATATGTTAAAGGACTACATTTAGATATAATCTAATAGTTAAATATTATATAATCACCATTATTTAGTAATATTAAGTACTTGAGTAAAGATATTCGTTTTAAAGATTTATAAAATACCTAAAAAAATGTTATTTTAAAAATTCTGAAAGTATTTATTCTTAAATCTTTTTTGTACCTAGGTTAGGTTAGAGTTAGTTGAGTATTTTAAATTATTTTCAAAACAAATATCTGTAATTTAAAAATTATCTTTTATCAGATTAATATTATTTTACCAACAATTCTAATTTTGTACTTATAAACAATAAAAAAAACTCAAATTTTAATGTTAATATTAACCTTAATTTATTATTATTAACAAATCAGTAGGTAATTGTAAATTGTTAGTCCTCTTGTAAAAAAATAAGTTTAGACAATTAGGTAGGGGTATTCCTTTAGTATGTGACCTACCTGTATTACTGAGTTTAGTGTGTGACCTACCAAGACGATTATCTTTATTATAGGTATGGAAAACCTATGCTTGCTTATCTTTATAGTTATATTATACTATATTTACTAGTTTTTACCTATAGATATTTTGTCATTCTAACATTATCGACAATATTGTCAGTACGTGTTCTGTCGTTAATTCGACATTGTGTGTTTAAAACTTTAAAATGTTGGCAGTTGAATTGTATGTGATTATTTCTTCTGAAAAACCAGTACTAGAATTTTCACAAAAGAATAAACTGTTACCACAAAATAACAAAACTAATTTATGCCATAAATGTCATAGTGAAACAAAGATGTACATGAGGAAAAAAAGATTGGCTACGGGTGAAATTTGAGAAATTAGCATTATACGATGTATCACAAAAGGATGTCAGATATATAAATCAATTCGATCAACAAATAGATTTTTTACATATACTTATCTTAATGCACAATGCAATTCTAATCTCAGTTTGGGCCAAATACTAGAACTTATTTATTATTGGTCACAAGATTTACCCATCAAAACTGTTTCTGATTTGACGGGTCGTTCAAATGCAACCATTGTTGACTGGTTTAATTTGTGTAGAGACGTGTGTTGTTCATTATTTGAAAAACATGAAAAGATGGGAGGACAAAATATAGTGGTACAAATTGATGAATTGTTATTGAGAGGGAGAAGGAAGTATAACTGAGGAAGACTGCTACTAGGTGATCTGCGTCATGAACAAGTGCAAGATAACTCGGCAGACTTCAATTCTGATAGTAATCAAGAAAATCAAATAAACCTAGTTAATTCACCTACATCAAACAGAAATTATGGTCGTAGACTAGAAGGACCATAGGTATTCAGATTATGTAGCAAAATCGGAGATAATTTGGAACGTAGGTTTTTTGTTGTAGAAAAACGTGATAGAGAAACTTTAATTCCGATTATCGAAAAAGAAATATTACCTGGTTTTATTATGATGTCAGATGAATGGAGAGCATATTCTTGTTTAAAAAATATAGGCTATGATCATAAAACAGTAATCAAATACAGGTTGAAACAAAATTTAACAAAGTGGCCTAATCAATTTCAATTATACATAATAAATAATTCATATCAGTTTGAGTATAATCACATGACTTGGTTTATCAGTATGATTGAAAAAAAATTAGTACATTTTGGTTGGAATAATTGACTATTTACTTTGCTTTGTGTATCATATTTATAACTTTAAATAAGTATATTATCTTATAATAAATACATTTCTCGTTAAACGTTATATAATTTAACATTGTTTTGCTATTATGTAGTAGAAGTTTAAGTCCTTGTGTTTCATTTAACTCTGAAACGGTTTCAGTATAACATCGTTTTTAATACACGTGTTACTTAATACATCAGATTGTTATTATATTTACATGTTTGCTTACAATTTAATTTTGTTAACTTTTTCAAAATACTATTACAGATTTTATTGTCATGTCTATTATATGAAGATTCTGTTTTTATTTATTATAGGTAATATACTTAAATACAGTGTGTACCATGTATTTTGTATTTGTTTTTAATTTTATCGATAATCAATTCTGGTTAAAAAAAAAACTTAATGTATAACAATATCATAAAGGTAATAACTAAGAATAACCTCAATATTTAGGTATTTTAAGTACCTAAGCATAGTTTAATCATTTTCTGAAATTTAAACATTTATAATTCAAAAAGTATTAAAAAATGTATAGTGAAATATGTAAGTCTATATTTTATATTACATTAATGAAACATTTTAGGCTTTAATTTAGAAAAGTTATCTGTAGCTTCTCCTTTATTAGTTGCTAATGCTAATGTTACTATAAATTAACTTAACTTATTATCATACATAGTGAAATGCAGTAGTTTTTCACTTTTTTTTTCAACATTAGAAAAGTTAAAAAAAGTGAATAGAAGTTGCAATTAAAAGCAATATTATAATAATTATTAATATTTTTAATTTTTTTATAAAAGCAGTAGGTAGTTTGAAATTATTTCAGTTAGTGTCATTTTATAAGGATTAATAATTTTTTTTTTTAATTAATTCTTAGATGGAAGTAAATTGAAAATATAAAAATATAGAATTAATTATATTTTTAATATCCATAATAGTTAGGTTAGTTAGTTAGTTGTTGGGAAAAATGCATCAATTTGAATGATGATTATGTAGAAAAATAGTAAAATGTATCTTATTTATCGTATAAAATTTTTAAAGTAATAAATTAATTTTTTATTATTCAGTACCTTTATTTTTGTACCTTATTTATCGGACAGCCTAAGTATCTCTAGATCTTTAAATTACATCTAAGATGTAACTTCATGTATAGAATACCAAAAAGAAGTAGACCAAAATATTTAAATAAAAATCATAAAGTAGAGAACTATTTAAGTTTCCTCATTCATAGTGATGGCATTAGAGCTTTTTGTCTGGGTGGGCCAAACTGGGCCATTGGTTTATAGGTAGAGCTTGTGCTGTAGCAAAATTCAACTTCTCTATCAAGTAAATAGTTATTACTAATAAACAAAAAATGAAAAAATGATTATAGAATGTAATATTATCAAATTTCAAAATCTCAATATCTCCATCCCTCTTTGATATATTACTGAAAAGAGACATAATATATTCACCAATTAAAAGAGTGATTTTTATATATTTTTTTTTTAATAACATTCATTTAAATTATAACAATATGCTTTACTATATTCAATATAATAATCCATTTAAACAAAATAATAATCACAAATTTTAAACCTTATAAAGTATTGTTTTAATTGTATCATTAAATAAATGATAAGAGCATGATAAAAGAATAATAGACAAACATTTATAAAATCAATTAAGATTTATACAGTTTTAAAAATATTATGTAAAAACTTAAAAAAATACATTTTTGTAATAGTACAAAAGTATTGCTCTTTGTTTTATACAATAAATTCTTCATAAATATCTGTATCTATAAGTTTTAAGTATAAGTAAAAGTGAATACTAGAAATAGAATACTTATGAAATATAAATTATAGATATTATTTTAACTGTTTATATGTTTCATTATAAATATATGTATAACAAGTTTTTAAATAATTATTAGGTATTCTTGTCGTATGCGGTCTACCTCACACTTGTCATCTACCACACATGTTTCTATATGTCATAGGCGATTAAGTTTTATCTTAATAATGTGATTTCTATATCAATAATAAAATACCTGCTATAATAAAACTTGGGTCCTGTCAAAATCCTGACTGTTGTCGTAAACGTATAAGATATCAGTTCAGTTTGTGCTTTAATACCTACGTGATTTGTTATTCTTCAGTTTATTTACTGCAATTTTTAACATTATGTTAGCCAAACATTACGTAGGTATAAAAAGTATGTTATAGACCGCATATGATGCCGTAGCGTAACTGCGGACCCGCAGATCCTGCGCTGCGGGGAGAACATAGTAGTTTGGGGCCTTTGGCTATAGGGTTATATTTGGTATAACAATATTTTTAGGGCTTATTTTTTATTTTAGCTGGGGAGCCGAAATTTTTTTGCTACGCCACTGATATGACGTAAAAAACATGTGTGGTAGACGGAAAGTGTGCGGTAGACCGCATATGACATGTAGAAACGTGAGGTAGACCGCTTACGATAAGAATACCAATTATTATTCTTGAATTTAAATTTTTAATGGATATGATGTTGATAATTTTAAATAATTTTGTCTATTTATGGCTTAATATAATTTGTTAAACAAATTCTTATTGTTGTACTGTTGTTAAATTTAGACTTAGACTTAGTGTAAGATTAGTATAATATAATATTTATTTATTTTTCAAATTATTAAATTTTTGTATTGATTTAAATTTTAAAGTGTAATGGTGATCCACAGGTTAAGAAACACTGTAATATATTATGTCGAACTCATTTTTAAGTTATTAGTGTATTATTTTGTTAACTTTTTTTTAAGTATGGTATTATACTATAAATAAAAATTATTCGGTTGTAAATATAATTATAGGTATTATTTAATATTCATAACATTAATTTATAATAAACTAATCAACTTTAATTTTCAGTATATATATTTAAGAAAATTTAAATAATGGATGATTAGTTCAATTTACATTGTAGATACCATCTATTATATTGTAGAGATAAAAACTAAATAGCTAACATATTTTTCTTTACATATTTAAGATAAGATAAGCTACTATATAAATTTATTAAGCATTAGAACATAATAATAAAAAATATAGTAGAGATATTATATTTATTATTTAAAAAAATATCTATATTATTCATTTTATTTTTGATGGATAATATAATGTGAATATGTCATATATTTTTGCAATAATGATGAATATAATAAAGTCTTAATCTCAGATGTTACGATTATTTTAAAGAAGATATTGCTTAGTAAGAAGGAGTCATTAATATTATAATTAAGTAACTTAAATAGAATTTGTTTATAATAAAAGTTTATTTTACCAATTATAGGGTATAGATTAAAAAAATTTAGAATAATCTTATAGCTCGAGTGAGGAGTTTATAACATGAGTGAATGTAATGTGTATACATAATATTAAACAAAAAATATTATTTTTTATTTTTTCAATTTGTTTACTATGATCAGTGTTATATATTATGTATTTCCAATATAACAATTGAAGCATTTCCCAGTTGGGTATGAATAATTAGAGGTGAAAAGATATTTTAATGTGAAAAAAAAAAGGAGCAATTAATGAAAGAGCTTTTTTTAATTGTGAATGTATGGATATTGGATATTGAATAAAATTTTGAATTAGAAATTTTATTATTTTAAGATCATTAATTTGAGCAGATAAAAAACAAATTTTTATTTGATAAAATTTAGTTAGGACTTAGGAGAAATTAAATTGTACTTTTCAGAAGATGAGTTTCTTTGACATAAATTTATATTAATGTATAATGGACATCAATGATATACCCTTATAAGCAAATATTTTTCAGGCAATCAACTTACAAAAGAATATTTGAATATTCAATAGAAACATATATATTATTAATAATTAAATTGAACAATAGTTGGAAAAGATGATCTTCTTGTGAAGTTCTAATAGATAAGATTGGATTTGAAATAAAGCTTTTATATTAAACAAATATTTATTATATCATGTTAAAAAATAGCAAAGCAATATCGAGGTCATTAATTTTTAAATAAATGAACTTAAAATTATACATCAAAAAGTATTTATTTTATTATTATTTATTATTATTTTTTGAATACATTTAATTATTAGATTAAAATATAGTCTACCTAATATTAAAACTTGGGTAATTTAAATAGTTTTTAATTTTCATTTATAAAATATTAAATAATACCAAATATTTTGATATTTTCACTTTTGTCTCATTTAATTAAAAACGAAAAAATTGTTAATTGTACTGAATATGATAAAATATATTAATATTAAGAAAAAAAATAGTAAATAATATACCTATTAAAATTATTTATCTTCAGTAGGTAATATAAATTTGTTGTGAAATTATTATTTAAGCAAGTTTAAAATAATGATGTCTATATTTATTAGTTAAATTAAATTTATTTTCTTAACCCAGATAAAACTATACTTAGCAGTAAGCAGTAGAGTAACAAAGATTTTATTTATTTTTTGTTATGATCACACTTATAAATTTCATAATTTTTAAACAAATTTTGTGCTTAAGTTTAAGTTCTGCTTTTATTTTTTTTTCAGTAATAAACTTGCTATTTCTTTTTAAATTATATCAAATAATTTTATTTGATATAAATTAATTTTAGAAAAAAAAAAGTTTTAAATTAATCACTGGTTGTCTATTTAAAAATGTAAAAATAGTAAAAACATTTTAAAATTAAAAATTTCAATAAAAGTTTATGAAACATCTTAGATCAGTGGTTTTCAACCGGTGTGTTGCGACACACCAGTGTGCCGCTAGCACCTTTGAAGTGTGCCACGATAAATCTATTGATGGAGTTAATTTTGTATATATATGTATTATAACATATGCTTCACGTATTATATGAATTAGTGTGCCGCAAAACTTTTGTAGAAGAAGTGTGCTATATTGTTAAAAAGGTTGAAAACCACTGCCTTAGATAATATTCTTACCTTTAATTTTTATAATATGTCAATTAACTCTTTTAATTATTTTTGAATAATTATTTATTTATTTGATATACTATATCACCATAATTTACAATTCGTTTTTTTTATATTTCTTGGTATATTTTAATTTTTGTTTTTTTTTTCAGATACCTACACAAAAAAAAAAATTCGAACTAGTTAGTTCAGCTGTTCCACTTGAAATTTGATATATACAAAGTCAATGATAAATAATGTTTGATGAATTTAAAGCTTTTTAATTCCAGGTAAGAAATATCTTATTATATTTTGATTAACTTAGAATAAATAAATATTAAAATTTGTTATGTTTTGTATTTATTAATGTATTATTAATCCACACAACCAAACTGATATTTAAAATAAATCACTGTCCATATTATAGTTAAAAACTAGCTGAAATTTCTGCCTATGCCTAGTTCTATATTTTTCTAAGATAGGTATGTTGTTTTGAATTATGTCATCGCTTTTATAAAAATAAACTTTTAAAAGTTCTGAAATAAGCCTACTAACAAATATTATGATTAAAACGTCATTTATGTATTTTGATTATTTATTAATTATTGTATATCCCATCAAATTAGTGTTACAATAGTAAATGAATATTATGCTTATAACTATAAAACTAATAGTAGTAACTGGTTTGCACGCAATGTTCTAAACATAAGCTAAGTATTTAATACTTTTCAGAAGCCATAGTATGAAATACTATTTTCAGTCCAGAGATAGATTTAACTTGTCACTTAAATTGTTAAAACATGATATATTTATTATAATTTATTTTACTTCAAATCAGGTACAATTATAAATTTAAAGTTTATTTAAATTGAATACTCTTCTCTTAGATTAGGTTTTTTACTATATTTTTTATTTTGATTGTTATACTTATTAATTCAAAATAAAATCTTTTGCAAAATGCTCATCTAGTATTTTATATTTTTAAAGCATTGTCTATATGAATTAAGTATTTTTATTTTTAAAGATCTAGGTAGGAAGTGGTATGATATTTTGTTCAATTAATTTGTTTTTATAAAAAAATCTAAAATGATTTTGGTTTATGAATTAACGTAAGTATCAACATAGTTATTTTTATTTTATTTAGGTGTTCTAATATTTAGAGTACTACAACTATAGAAAATTAATATTTATCTGCCACGATAATGGATACTGGACGGTCACAGCAACCAGATAAAAAGCAGCTGTTGCAACAACAACAACTTTTGTTGCAAAAACAATTACAACAGCAACTCCAACAGCAGCAGTTATTAAAACATCAACAACAGCAGCAACAACAGCTAAATCTCCAACAGCAGCAATTTAAGCAACAACAGCAACAGCTCTTACAAACACAATCAAATACTCAGCAACAGCAGCAATTATTACAAACACAACCACACTATTCGCAGCAGCAGTTATCCCCAAACCAACAACAGCTACTGATACGGAATCAGGATTTTCTGAAACAACGGGGTATGCAGCAAGGTAATTTGAACCAGCAGCAGCTTCTTGAACATAAGAAAAATCAAGATCAAACCGTTATAGATCTCATAGAAATCCACGATAACAATGAAAACGAAGACAAAAATCAAGAAGACCGTCTTACTGTACAACGGCAGCAAGTTATCCAACAACAGCAACAGTCAAGTTTACAACGACAACAGCAGCTACAGCAGCTACAAACTCAATTGGCTCAACAGTCTCAACTTAGTCACCAACCACATCAACAGCATCCGCAGTTTTTACAACAATCGCAGCAACAGTTTCAGAATATGCAGCAACTACAAAATTCGCAACAACTACAGTCTGTACAGCAATCTCAACTGATAACACAATCACAGATTGCACCAAAAACTCAAGCTGAACGTCAGCCTCAAGTTGTAAGACAACCACAGGCTGTACAAAAATCAAATTCATTACAACAACCACAGGTTATACAGCAACAGAATAATCAATATTCTCCAGTGTCTACACAACAACAGCCTAAAAAACAGCCTCCTCCTCATACTCAACAACTACTTCAACAGCAGTTACAACAATTACTATTAAAGAATAAAAGTTATCCACAACGTATTGTCGTTTTGGGAAATCAACAACAGCAACAGCAGTTGTCACCACAGCAATCACAGCGCATAGTTACTAACAACAGCACTGGTCAACAAACACAACAGATGCAATGTGTCGTGGTAACAAACACTGGCCAACAACCTCAACAGATACAACGTGTGGTCGTTACAGGAGCTGGTCAACAACAACAGCAACAGCAAATTCAACGTATTGTGGTGGGAAGCAACAGCCAACAACAGCCACAAGTGCAACGTGTCGTTGTTCCCACCACTGTACAACATCAACAAATACAGCGTGTTGTTGTTACAAGCACTGGTCAGCAAATACAACAACAACAATTACAACACGTTGTCATTCCAAACACAAGTCAACAACAGTCACACCAGGTGCAAAATGTTAGCCAAACATGTATCCAACAACAGGTTCAACGTGTCATTAATTCTACCTCAGGTCAACAACAACAGCAACTTTCGCAACAAAATCAACCAGTGCCACAACGTATTGTTATAGGTCAACTAAAACCATCGCAGCAAACACAGCAAATGCAATCGTCATCACAAAGTGGAGTAGTTATTAATCAGCAGATGATGCAACGGCAACAGCAGCAACGTGTTGTCATCGCTGGTCAACAACAAATTTTAAAATTAACAAATCAGCAACAATCTCCACAGCAAATTACACTTCAAAAACAGTTGACACATAAATTATTGCAACCTTCACAACAACAACAACAACAACAACAACAACAACAAGATGTAGTAAAAACCCAATTACAACAACTAGACGTAGTAAAAAAACAAAATCAACAACAAGATTTAGTAAAAAAACAACAGCAACAACTGGACGTAGTAAAAAACCAACATCAGCAAGATTTAATAAAAAAACAACAGCAACAATTAAACGTAGTAAAAAATCAAAACCAACAACTAGATTTAGTAAAAAAACAACAGCATCAACAAGATGAAGTAAAAAAACAACTGCAACAACAAGATTTAATAAAAAAACAACAGCAACATCAAGACGTAGTAATAAAACAACTGCCACAAATACCAAGTCAACAATTATTGAAAAGTGCTTCTGTGCCTTTAACACAGCAACAGAAAAATAACCTTAAGTTATCTAATGAAAATTTGGCAAAAGAGCTACATATAAAACAATCCCATCAACAATTACAGCAATTACACGTACAACCATCTCAAAAACACTCGCAGGAACAAATAAATAAGCAACTACAACAACAAAAACTTAAACAGAAGAAAGAAATAGATCAGTTACAGCATCAATTGAAACAAACCCAACGTAGTGGTGTAATAATAGGACAACTGCAACAACCCGCAAAACCAGAACCAGAAAAGTTGAAAAAGCAACTTGAAATACAGCAACAACAGCGACAAAAACTACAAGAACGCCTTTTATTGCAACAACGGCAACAGCAACAAAAAAAGCTCAAAGACCAACAACTGCAACAAAAGCACCAACAACAGCTACGTGAACAGGTTTTAATGCAGCAACATCTAAAGCAACAGCAACAACAACAATTACAGCAAAAATTATTACTCAAACAACAGGCGTCTTCAGAGAACCGTTTATCATTAGTTGTTAATGGAAACCAAGATTCAGAAAAAAGTATCAACTGTTATAAAAAGTCACCTGAGCCAGAATCTTTGCGGTGTATAGAAAAAGTTACTGCTACTGAAAAACAATTCCAAAATGGCGTAAAACGAAAGAATATTGAAAATATACCAGTTAGCGAAAAAGAGTTATTATTATTATCATCGTCGGATGAAGATGATGACGACGAAACCGTTCATAAACAACGAAATTTGCTACGTGAAGCTGAACGTCTCGTTCAGGAACGGTACGATGCATTGACGGTTGTTTTAGGAGCAGAGTACCAGGCGCAGTATGATGAAATTTTAAGAAACTGGCTAGCTAGTCGGTTATCACGCGAAGAGTTTGACCATGAGATTCGTAAGGTGATGTACGTTTCATGGGTAGTTAGGATGAAAAAAAGGGATGGTGATAAAAATAGCAAAAATGCATCTTTTAAAACCAACAATACTTCAAGTTTGAAAAAAACAGCTAAAAAAGGTGCGGTAACAAACTCGTCAAAAGTGAAAGAAGACATCACCTCTTTAATTAATACAACAGGGCAAAAATCGCCAACATTAAATAAAGTGGCAGAAGAAAACAAAGAATTAGATATTAATATTGAAAGTAAGGAGGCTAAGATCATCTTAGCGGAAAGAGTACCGCTGCATAATGCATTAATCACCAGTTTAATAATGTGGTTACCACTTAATTGTCAGTGGTTACAACAGCGTAAGGCACGTGTCCTAGGTATTTCCGAAACTGGGTCCCCATTAAGATTGTATACTTATGCAGATGTGCCACAAGTGCGTGGATCAAGTGATCACTGGTACCCCGATCTACCTGGCAGCTTAGCCCGTTGGTATTGGCCAAATCATTTATCATGCAATTCTTCATTAATAGAAAATAATGAAAAATCGTTTCAAGAACAGGAAAGAAAGGAAGCTGCAGATGCTCTAGATACGGCAATTTTATTGAAGCCACCATCGTGTGTATTGCTCCCGTTACTAATGGAGGTAGCTGAAAACACAGAAATAGTGCGAAGAGCAAGACAAAAACAGTACCAGAAGAGGTGTCCAAAGAAACAAAACGTTAAAGTTATTAAAAGATTACAATGGCAACGGTTACAAGAACAAAAACGGTTAGCTACTATGATTCGATTACGGGATGGATGTTCAAAACTGTTGCGTGAACTTAAAAAACGTCTTCGATATCTTGCCAATCAAGAAAGCCGACTTATTGAACGACTGCGTCGGCTCCAAATTCGTATGTCACGACGACGGCGTCAAGTGTTGGCACAATTCAAAATTAGAGAGCAGGACCTAAAATCTCGGGTACGGAAGTTTTTTGGTAAGTCACGCTTAGAACAGCCAAAAATTGATTCCCAAGAACTTCCATATTCAGATAGTTCAACTAATGAAGAAAATAATACTGATGATGATGAAAAGGATGAAGTGTCTCAAGAAAATATTCTTAAACAATATAGGAAAAAAGTTCATTTATCGAAGAAAAATTATGGCGGCAAAAAACAGTTAAAAATATCAGTTGCCGATTATCAATCTAAACCCAATGTTCAAACTAAGCGTCCACAACCGACGGCTTTGACGATACGATTATTGCGTGACCGACAACAATTCTTGGCAACCACTCGTTTGTTACAGGTAACAAAGCAGGAACGCTTACAAATTAGTAGTAATGCTGATTATGTCCGAGAGGTCAGAAATAAAAACTGTCCGTGTGGACAGTTAGATAACAGACCATGTCAATACCGAAGACAGATCCGTCGTTTACGAAAACAATTTAGAGTCCATGAATTAGCTGTAATCAAGAAAAAAATAGATAGAGAACTAATAAAAAAAGCATCTGAAAAAGAAAAGGTAGATTCCAAAGGACTTCAAAAAAAACCATCTTTAGAAATCGAAAAGAAAAAGGCTGAAACTCAAAACAAAAGAGGCGTGAAAAAATCAACCAACAAAACAAAACCGTTAGTAACCAAGAAAAATTTTAATGTAGAAGCAGACCAAAAAAAAATTATAACTGCCAAAAGTAAAATTATAGATAACAGATCTACGAAAACCAATACAACTTCTAATAATAGTATTTCAAACAAAACCGCATCATTAGTTACCTCCAACGTGATAAATGTAGAGATCAAAGAACGACAAACCTCGGACAATTTAGATCACGTAAACAAAGAAAAACATAATATAGGAATGAACTGTGAAAAATTTGTAACACAAACTCCAATCGATAGTTTGAGGGATACTAGAAATTGGATAAGACCTCCGCTTTCAAAAGATAAAAGAAGTGTGGTAAATGTTGCTGATGCTGCTGCACGTGCAGCCCAAGCGGCATTAGCTGCATCAAAGAAAACTCAGCTTCGAAAAACTAGAGCGGCAGCAGCTGCTGCTGCTGCTGCCGCTACTGCCGCTACTGCCACCATTTCAGCGACTGTAACTTCTGGTACAGTTGACGACGATCGGCGAGCAAGTGAACTTATGCCACCACCACCGCCGCCGCCGATTATATCACCGACTCATCCAAAAACTGCTTCTACTCCAAGAAATCCTACAATCGGGGCTCGATACTTGCAACAACAGAAGTTTTTATTGGATCGACACAGACAGTTAGAACGTATTCGACGTGATGAAGAAGAACGACGGCAACGAGCTCAAAATGAACATCAGCAACAAAAGCAGGAGTGTTCCGATAAGGAAGAGGAAGAGACAAACGTGAAAACAGATGACTTTTCATCACAATTCGCTTCCCAACGAATGCGATCTAAGCGACAAAAAGTTCCAGTAGATACCATACGTCAGGACATTAATCAAGACTCTTCTAATAACGAAGAGCAAGAAAAATTTGACAACTCAAATTTTAGGAAATCTAAAAATGAAGAAGAAAGACGGCAAATGAACGATTATTACTTTTATTATGGTGGTGATGATTATTATTCCTCGGACGAAGAATCTTCTGAATCATCGTTTACTGAACCTCCATTTCCTCCGCTTTTGCATGACCTTCGGATAGACCAGTTGCCACGGCCTATGAATCGGATGCCAGCGGCGGCTGTTCTCCCTCCTGGCGTTCGAACTCGGTTGCAGCCATTTCAAACAGCAAATTCAAAAAATCAGGACGTACAATCATCTGCATCTTACCGTAAATCTCAAGCTGAAAATCTACATAAACGTAAATTATTGGAAACTGAACATGAACGAAATATTAATGTACCTAACCAAAAAGAATCCTCTGATCTTTCCACGGAATTTAGTAAGAATTCAAATTCTTTAAATTCGCATACTATGACTAATAAAAATAAGATTACTGAGTCAGTTGAGTCTCCATTTTCTAAAAAATTACCCAAAACTAAAACAAATACATTAAATAAAGGATTACAGACTAGACTTGTAGAACAACGGGGACAGCAAAAAGGAAAACATAACTTGACTAAAATATCACCAGCACAACAAAAGCATTGTCAAGATAGAGACAAATTGCCGGGAACTAAAAAGACATCTGAAAGTGTTCGGCAGGAATGTAAAGAAGATTTAAATCAAGTAATAATAACTTCGGTTACAAAAACAAATTCGTGTATTAAAGAACAAATAATTCACGATTCTTGTCGACCGCACCAACAAAAATCAATGGACAAAATAATTAGATCACTCCCGTCAAATAAAAGTAAAAAACCAGTCACAAGAGTTGACGTTGAAGAATTGCGATCTGTACAGTGGAAGGCGCCATTGACACAGTGGAATAAACGACCCATCGCATATGAAGCGGTTATTAAACAGAGAGATCCAGTAAAAAGTATAGAAAACAACTTGCAGAATTCAACGACGGAAAAAGTATTAACATGCACATCAGCCAAATTTGAAGTTTCAAATAACCATCTGAATGATCAGCAAGATAAATTGCGAACGGAAATTGAGCGAAAGAAACGTGAGCGAATTAACATGCAAAACATGGTATTTGAATATAAAAAACTTGTAGATACCTTACCCCCAAATAAACAATTACAACATATGATCCGATTAAAACAGCACCTTCGGCCGTCAGGAAATACAATTGAAAAAACTACTCTCAAAAGTAATCCGTCGGAAGAACAGCAACAACTGACTATACCATCAAATAATAGTTCTTGTATATTACTAAACGATTCACCTTCCTTTGTACATTTATCTGACGAAAATCAAGAATCAAGAATTGTAAAACAAATAGGTAATCTGTTGTTAAAAATCAAGCATCAGCAAGAAAAAATGTACCGAAAGGTTAATATATGTGACGACATTAAAACATCTAGTCCAGAAGTAGTAGTTTCCGATAAAGTTAATGTTGATATCTCGGTACAAAATGATCTAAAAAATTGGAGTGACTTGTGGCCCGCATATGAAGACAAGCCAAATCATGAAGAATTGATGGATGATGAACAAAGGTTGCGCCGAACCCAAGAATTAATCGATCAATACTATTCTTCTAATACTGACAATAAATTAGTACGTTCGTTGGATCAACAAAAACGAAGGCTTGGAAAGTATGGGCGAGAACGACTTGAACGAGAGCTACCCGAGTATCAGCAACTACGAACAAAACAATTAATGCAATCGGAAACTTCAGCAACACTAAATCATACGAAACAAAAAATAACACAAAAACGAAAAATGTCACAGTATACTCAAAAACATTTACCAGAACGAAAAAGTTGTTTAGAAAAATATAAACGACTTGGACGAATTGAGCAATTGGAACAACAAAAACACCTTTTGGGACATAAACAACCACTAGATGAACAAACAGTTAAAAACAAACCGGATCAAGACTCTGATCTTGAGTGTACATTTATTCAACAGAAGCGGTCTCAGTACTGTTGGACCGTTGGTAAATTTCGAGTATCGCCAGCGTTAGGTTATAACGAACAACTTCCACTACGTGAACAATTGTTGCGTAGAATCATGAAAAAGAAAAACATGCGGATACTTAAAATAGTACAACAGTCGCAACAAAAACCTAAGCGTCCCAAATCCACTGGAATTCCCGAAATTACAACTAGGCCCAAGATTATACTGTCCGAAGATACATCTAATATAAATACAATGACAAAAATGTATAGAGGATCTAATCTTTGGTGGATGAACATAGGTTCGCAGCGGCAAATATCACCGTTAGTCACCGGCAGTGAGAATCAAGATGATCTAGAACTTACGCTGATAGCGATGATGCCAATCGGCAATTTAACACAGGTGACTAGATCGCAAACAGCCACAAAGTTAGCATCTGTCATACACATTCACCAAAAACGTAATACGATATTTACTAATAAAAGTAAGTTAAAAAAGTGGTTATCACCACGTTTATTAAAGATGATGACTAATGTTGAAGAAAGGTGGTTGGGACAGTTGCAAACGAAGATATCGCAGCTTGATCAACAAGTAGAACTACATTGGAAAACCATGTTAGATAAGCAGGAACAACAAGTAAAATTACTGCTGAATTATGATAAACGCCTGCAATGTGAAAAAGAAAAGATGCGTTTAAGACGCGAAAGACGAATACAGCAGTTAAAAAAAAGAACACCGTTTCAAGCGTTGCCTGTACACCATCAGCAAGCACATACATCTCGGGCAGTTGGACATATGCGACAACAACAATCAGAAATACCAATAATTGTTATTGATGACGATGAGCCATTGAATGATACGATAGTTGATAGCTCAAAACGGGACTCACATCCCTATCCAGTGTTTATTAATGATGACCTATTGAAACACGAGTTAGAAACAAAAGTACTTTATGAAGATCAGCACAAAGGTATCAGTAATCGGTGGAAACAGTTAGAAGTCATGCGTAAAGAACACCAACAAAAATGGAAATTTAAGCTAAAAATGTTATTTTCATGTAAAGCAAAAAATCGAAAATTTTGTCGAGAACTTTATGAGCGTTTGATGAGTAAAATAAAAAATCCAAATTTAATTATTGCTTTAGAACAGCTTAACGGAGGGGCTTTTAAACGTACGGAACAACAATTTCGGCAACAAATACGACCGTCTAAACCTCGTCCTATGCAAGTTCAACCAAGAATGTTACACCGGCAACAAGCTTCATCTCAAAAGCAAGCCGTTAAAAACCACTCTAAGAAATCAACAACTCAACATAAAACTACAATGCTAAGCAAAAATTCAAAACAAATTATTAATCAAGAACGATCAACCCTTAAACAAGCTTTACAACGACGCCATCTAAATAAACAAGGAGAACAAAAATTTAAAAAACAGCTACCACAAAATCTTAACTATTCTAATAAAGACCAACCGAAAAAATGTAATAAAAATCAAGAATCAGTCAATATTCGACAACTGCGTAGTAAACGAACAAATAAACTCCAAGTACAAAAAGAATCTTTAGCAAAACAACAAAAACAACCTCCGTTAGGGCGATTCAAAAATGGTCAAATGTTAACAAAAGTTAAGTCACCAGTTATGAGTTCAAGACATGTTTCCTTGTTACGAAATAGAATACTTGAGGTACAATCGAATCATAATATACGACAACGGAAGAAAATTCAGCAATTGGTACCTAAGAAAGATATTACCTTTGATGTAACGGAGAACCAAATTCAGGAATATGAAAAACGAAAAAATTCTACCAAGATTCTTAGGACAATGACTCTTTCACTAAATAATCAACGGTCTGCATTGCAACGTCAACTGGATAGATTAAACGAAAATCATTTAGATACAATCGACAACCAATTAGAACCATCAGTTTCAAAGACATTGATAATGTCTATTCAACAACCAACTATAACTTCATTGATATTGCCACCACTACATCCATCAACTATAAAACAACAATCTTTGATGTCTACCGTTACGTTAAGCCCACAACGACCATTAGCGTCTATAGAACAATGTTCAACGTCTTCAGTAACATTAATTCCACAACTACCGATACAACCGAATCAATCAATCCCATCAACATCAGCACTGTCCCAACCGAGTCAAAAAAAGCAACTGTTGGAAGAAAAACGACAAGCTATGAAACAACGGCTTTACAGAGTACATAGCAAGCTAAAACCTTTAATGGAAATGTGGCAGCTTTCACTTCGGATGCCTAGACAGTGGTTATGGCAACAATTAGATGATATTGAGCAATTGAGGCGAAAAGAATTTTCAGTTGAATCCATGTTAGACTTGAGATGTCCGAGTGGCCGACAGCAAACACAACAAATACTTCAAAATAATGAAGTTTCAGTTATGGCTTCTACTTCTATGACCCAGTATTCATTGCAACAACTGCAACGAATCCGTGAATATCTGAATTGGCGACAACAACGATTGCGCGATTTAATTGAAGACTTACTGATATTAATTTGCCCAGAACAACATCCTATGTTGTCCGAATCGACCCAGTTACCTTCAACTTGTTCTGTCTTGATCAAACTACAACAACACCCGTCGATGACAGATTCAACTTATTCAGCATTATTGAATTTACGATCCCCTTCGTCGTCAAAACAAACGCAACAACAATTTTCGACCTATTCATTGTTACTTAAACTAAAACAACCATTGTCGGTAAATCAGCAGTCATTAATGTATTCAACATTATTAAAACTTCAGCACCCGCCTATACTAAAACAAATTTTGTGTTCTCCGTCGATAATAACTACACAGCAAGAATCAATTACTTTGGTCTCAAAAAAATTAACACACGATCCTATGATTGGTAATAATGAACAATATTCGCACCATCCTCATGACCAAATACAGGAAAAAAGACGGCTCAGTAGTGGAAATGAAACTGATAATTGTTATAAAAGACTTAAATTATGTACTATAGAGAGGTCACCGTCTAAAGTAATTAATAAGCAACCAGTTATTAATTTGCCTTCTAAAAACACAGTCATTGACAAAAATATTCCCACGATTGAAATTTTGGATTCTGATGAAGACGTGGAAATAATAGATTCTGATTCTAGCACAGAGTCATCTAATGAACCAAGTTTTGGTGTGCAAGTTTCAGAAAAATCACCATTAACTATTAAAATAATAAAGAAAAAACCACTCTTGTGTTCATCTACAATGAACAAAGATTTTAAAAATAAATCGGATATGGGTAACATGAATTCTGTTTTAAAATTTAAAGAAAACAAAATCAATTTTAACTTACATCAAGATATGAAAAAAACAAAGAATGAAGATTTAGAAGTTGAGAAAACAATTTTAATGGAAGTTAAAGGGAAAGATTTCAATAAGTCAATGACAACTAAAGACAACGATCATAAAAATCTTATTAGTGAACAGGAAGAAAACAATAAAGACTTAATGATAGATAAAACGATACAAAAGACTATTGTTAGCAGACCAACACGGATAGCTCTTCTTGTTAACAGACAAAATGAAACAACTGCAGACATTAACGAACCAACTGTTACTGTTAGCAGTAATCAAATGTTAAAGGTAGCAGTAGTTGAATCAACATCATCAATGATTCCGAACATCGGTAGCAAAAGTATCAAGGTGACGCCCGAAGGAAGAAATCCGATAAAAATAACAGATAGTATTCAGAACCCATTACATAATGTAGATAGGACAATATCAGTCATAAGTAGATTAACGGAGGCAGCAGTAGGAGTTATTAGGAAAACCCCGATATTAGACTTGAACCATCAGCCTTCAATTAGCTGTAAATCATCATCAATTAAAACGCCTTTTGGAAAATCAAATAGTACAATGGCAAAGCCAATGGGCGATTCCCAAACTAACAGCAATAGTACTAAAAATATGGAAAAAAGTAAAGTTGTTACGACAAACCTTCGTCGTCGAATTAGCGCACTTACACTTTCGAAGACTGTACGGCGACGTCGACGCTTAAATCGCACTATTTCATTGGAAACTCGTGGACCAGCAGTTCCTACGTTCCGTGACCACGGATTTGCTCAAGGTACCATTGAACGAGTAGTTCACGAGAGGTTCGTAACAACTATAATGACAATGTCAGCTGCACACACTATCGCGTCGTATTTACCTCCACGATTTCCACGAATCCCATTCGATTATGATGCAATGAGTCAATATAACGTCAATGTGTTTTCTACGGCAAAAGGAAATAAGAACGACGTACACAACGCATATAATAATCAAGATATTAAATCAGTCAACACACCGGCAACACTATCTGCTGTCATGGGTTGGTTAGAGAAAACTGTAGAGACCTCCTCAAACTTTTCATGTGGTAACAAACACCTTTGGAATGGTTGTGCACGGACAACTGGTTCAACTTTAATGACTTTAACCAAGGTTGTCAAAGAAGGTATATCACGAAATAATGCCATTCGATCGCGTGCTACTACTTCGTCTCATATGTCCGCGGAAGTGAAAACACCGACTACCATACCAGCACGACCATCGAAGTCAACAAGAAAAAAGTCTATACCTGTCGTTACAAAATCGTCAAAAAGGTCTAATTCACAAACTTCCACTGCAACACCATTGAAGACTATGGCTACATGTAACGTTTCTATTCCATCGATCAAAAATGTGACAGAGTCGACATCATCTTCGTTATCAGTTGGGTTTCAAAATAGATCCAAGTCAGCCATAGGGGTGGCCAATGTTAATAAGCAACAAAAATCACAGTCAACTAAAAGATCAGCGTCAGTTGCGTTTTCACCCGAATCACTTCTCACATCTCAAAAAACAACAAGCATTATGGTGCCACCACTAGGAAAAAGAGGATCAACAATAGTTGCCCAACCGAACAAGAAATCTAAATCAGCAGTTATCGATCAATCACTGACTTTAACAAAACCGGGTCCTCGTGAAGAAGAGCGTAGGTCTATTAAACGATCTGCATCAGTGGCGGAATATGTCTCTCCATCCACAACTAGTAATATGTCGAAATTGTCACCTTCAGCAATCAAACCTCCCAAGAGATCCAAATCAGCCGTAGTAATTACACCTGCAACAATGACAGCTTCTGCGTCTAGCAATAATTTCATACGATCAATACCGGCCAAAAGTTCTGCATCGATGATATTGTCATCACCTACCGCCATACAAACCAACAAATTCAATTCGAAAGTTATGACATCACCATCATCCATTAAAAACCTCAATGCTACTGTACCAGGACCTAGAGTATCAAGAACATTAAACATTTTAAAAACAACGCCTCCTTCATCAATGTCGGCAACCACATCGAATGACACAAAAAATAGTATACTCACCAACTCGGTTATTGAAACCAGTGACGAAAGTAACACCATTCATGAGAAAACAACAACGATCACAGAAGAAGAGCAGCGTACTGTGACTGTAACGCGAACTTTGTGTCCTACTATTCCAGCACCGATGGATGTAACTGCCGACGCGTGCACTCTTGTAAAAGCTGCATGTGAGCAATTTATCAAAGCCATGGTGATGGAACGGCATTTGAAGGCTGGTCGCGGTGCCGGCACGATTCAACTTCACCGTCGAGACGCATACGCGGCGGCTATAGCAGTTGACGATGACATTCGACCATTCCCAGATTATTGTCGGACACCGTCCATCGGAACGACGTTCGTTAAACCGGTAATATCGACGCCCAGTCAAGGAGAAAACAATGTAGAAAAGGGGTCAGCATTTGAACAGAAATCTATCGTTACTGATAGTAGATGTAATGACAAATCAATTGTTATTATGATGGATAAACCGGACAACAATAACGAAAGACGGGCTGTATCGAAACAACAATCAATTATCGTTGACAGTAAGTCAAATAACAAATTATCTGTACTGACGGTCAAAACGGTCATCGAAACACAGACAACTTCTTCCACGACGACTACGATCAATAAACTGCAATGCCCAACGTCCATTACTAACGTTTACGCGACAAAAACGAGATCATTGATCGAAGGTACTTCGGCCAGAACAAGAGGAGTGATGGCATTGAAAAAGACGAAGAGTTCTGCGTTCAGTCCAGAAAAAATGATTCCGTTAATTACCGAAAAACCGACGACCAGTGATCAGTTATCATTAGATCCAATAGCCGCCAAAAATCAGACAATGAGTTCTCTGCCAATTATCGTACCTGAAACAGCAAAACCTCCGGCTCCCGTCAGTGATGTCACGGAAGTCCTCACCAAGACGTTACCTGTTTCGACACCAGAGCTGTTGCCCGAAGCCACGTTAACTTTTAAAACTTCCACATCAACTCGTGGATTTTTCGTAGAACGCGGTAGACCTTTGTTACGTCCCGCTTTCAATCGGCGTCAGCCGTTCGGCACGCTGGTGGCTACCTGTACCATGGCAGCCAAGGATACAACTGCCGTTAACGACACATACTTTTCAAATGACTGCAGCCAAAATTTGGATACCAAAGCTCATTCGCCAAACAACAATTCCTCTACCGATGCTTGGGGCTGTTATTTTGGAAATCAACAAATGTTACCGCCCGCCAGCAGATTGAACAATTTCTTGAATATCGATTACAAATCTGTGGTGCCATCATCCGAAAACCAAGATAGAGGAGATGGCGACGGCGACGACAATGGCGACACCGACACCGCCCACATAGTACCGTCTAATGCACCAACAAAACCGCCGCACGGCATTGTGAAGACAAATGGCAATAGTGCTCAAGAGGAGTTGTCGTTGGCAAACAGTCGACAGCAACTATTGTTCATAGAGATCGCTCGTCAGCAACAGTTCACGAAGCAGCTGGAGCATGAGATGAAACGGCGTGTCCAAAAATACCAAAACCGGGAACCTGACCCAGAGGAAGTGTACTATCAAAAGTTCCTGAAACTGCAATTCGGCTCAAAAAATACACCACCGGAGCCGCCATTATTGCGACCCTCCCCAAACAGCCACAGTCGTTACAGTTTGATAAGTTGGTAAAATTTGATTGATTGCTCGCGATGCGCTTTGAGTACATGACAAAAGTAGGTATCCTTAGAAATTAATTTACTTCTACTATGTGCTCTTTAAACTACCTTTTTTCATTCCATTGTTTACTGTTTTTATGCAGGTGCTTTGACTGAATATTTTTTTTTTTTTAATTATGTAAAATAGTATATCGGTATTATATTCTTCTTTGTATATCGACATTACAATGTTTTTTTTTTAATAACTACTATTAAATTTATTTGCGGCAAATGATTTAAAAATCACATATATTATAATTTTTAGGCCGTTAAATAATTAATAAAAATTTTATTTTATTTTTTATAAATTATTTTTAAAAGCATTCACTGTCTTTTTGATTAAAAAAATAATATATATATTTAAACTAAATTTTAATGTGTGTTAAAATCTAACATCTTACAACTCTAATGTTTGTATAGAAAAAAAAAATTATATTTTTATAATTATTATAAGTAAATTTTATTAATGTATATATTATGGTGTATTTTAATATTTTTATGATTGTCAAAATTCGTAACTTGTCTTAAGAGACGAAATAGATTTGATAAATTGTAAATAGGTGTAAGTGACTTATTGAATAAAAACTATTTAATTGTTTAATTTTAATGAGTACATTGTGTGTACCACATAATTTTTGATATTTTAAGTTAACAACAATTAAATTTGTATTTTATTTGTATTTTACATGTCATTGAAATATTTGTTCTAATGTCAATAAATGTTTTTTTTTTTTTTTTAATTTACAAATATATTTTAATCATTATAACTTCTATTCAATTATTTATAAATAATACGAGTAAGCGTGTTTTCGTAGAGTAACCAAGAGCAAACGAATTATTAAAAATCGTTTTAGCGATAATTTTATGCCGACATTTTTCTATGTTTACTAAAATTAAATGTTGACTCTTATTACTAACCAAAAAGGAAACAAATTAATTTTTAATACAATACTCTTTTTGGGTAAATTTAGCGTTGGATAAACGTCATATTATTATTATGTCGTATCAGTTAATAGTCATCAAACTATTTGTTATCGTTTCTTCTTTGAAAACATGCTAATAAATTGGTAATTGCTTCATGTTATCGAATTATTACTTTTACTAATTATAAGTCGAAGTGCTGTCGAAAGTTTATAACAAGAAATCAAAAAATTACATTAAACTATTGAAAAAAAAACATTTTGTTTGTCATATTATAACAGGTAACCATTGTTTATATCTTATTTTATCAGTGTTCGTTACTGCAAAACAATTATTGCTGTAGTTTTCACAATAAATAAAATATAATTTATTCATTACTCACATTGAGTATATTAACTACCGTATACAACGTTGATTACAAAGTGATTGAAGATCTTCCACATCACTGCACAAGTACGTACAATAATCATAGTTTTTTTTTTTGAAAAAGTATTCCAATTAAAATTTTTTTTTTTAAACATACTTAATACGCAGTACGACATTTTATTATACAAACGTCATTATTATGCAAAGATGACTGTATTGAGTTGAATTAGCGTAATTTATTAATGAAAGAATCTTCATAAAATCGGAAATAAAAATTATACAGACGCCGTATGTTAGCCTATTCAGAATCAAAAAAAGTAAAAATTAATAATTTTATAATGCAGCCCGGTGTATCCTAAACTTTTTACTTTAATTGCTTTGAAAATTTAAAACAAAACGTTTTAAGAAGAAAAGCGCATGCGTTGTAAATTTTCCGTTATGCAAGCATTTAATATAACAAATTTGAGATCAAATCCTATGTTGTTAGATGTGTAATATTGGAGTGAACGAACCTATAATAAACTTAAAGGTAAGAACTTTTTTGTGTGTATATTATTAGTAGGTATAATATTGTCGCTGATTTTTTTAAATTTTTATACGAATTTTAAGCATTTTTAAATTTTAATATTACATAGATAGTAGACATAATTGTTATTTTTATGATTCGATATATCGAACTTTTATTTTTTATTTCAAATGAAGTCGATATCATATAATATATCCATGCTGTGAATTGCTTGAAATTTCAACTTCAAACGCTTTTAAAATAAATGTATTTAAAACATATATCAATAAAAAAAACTTATGTAGAACGTTGTAATAAGTATTCATTTATTTTCGATAAAAATATTTGGTGAACATTTCAAGTTTATGATTAATTATTTTTGAGCTATATAAAACAATATAAATTTGTATTTATGACGTTTCAAAGTATCAACCACATTTAATTTTTGAATAGAAATCGCCTTCGACGTTCATGATGTTTGCATAATGCTAGCGATGTTAGATAACAATTAAATTTAAATTAAAAAAAAAAAAAATTATGCGTATATTATTGTTTAAATAATTTTTTTAGAAATTTAAATAAATAATTGATGATAATATTTTAAGTTTATACAAATACCTACATTTGTTTGTAACAAATTATTTTAAATCGATTTAATTTGATTTGAGTATTTAAACTCAAGAAATATTAATTATGTTATGTAAACTAATGGTAATAATTGCGTTGGATTATTCTTTATTACCTATTATTATTATAACATTGGGGATCTGAAATCGACTTAGACTAAAAAACAAAGTTAGATACCCGTCGATACTGACAATGAATAGAATAAAGATTATATCAATAATTTAAGCTATTGAAAGCAAAGTAACCGTAAGAAAAACTGTGAAGTAATCAATTCATTTTAATCATAAATATTACGATAATAGTATTTATTTTATGATTATGTGATAAAATTAATATAATAAACTATGTTTACCAACTATATTATTAGCATTAATTCGAAAATTGAATAATTGTGTAATTGGTGTGCCATTAAATTACTGATTTTTGAAAAGATATCTTGTTGCATTATTAGATGGTTAAAAAAAAATTGTTTAAATCAATGATAAATAAACTTTAAACGATTTATTATAATTAAAACTATTAGTGAATTCAATAAAATTAAGAACATCGTAGTTAAAAACTAGCGAACCAAAATTATTGATTTGATCATCAACATAAAGTAAATAAAGTCTTACTTGTATCTATTAAAAAAAAGTTATTATCGGTTAAAAAAAATAAAAAAAAAATAAGTCAATTTTTCTGTTTACACATCTGCGCGCATTAATAGCTACCTTTATACACCTATATTATAATAATTTACATGTTACCACCACAAATTTATAAAATAACTTTGTTGTTGGATAACTGTATTTATCTACAAATTTATTCAAATATTATTAAAAACTAGACTATCATCGTCGAATCATATTGATAAATATAAATACGAGTGCATAATATATACTAAAATAAAAAAAATATATATTATATTTTATTGTTATATATAAAGGACGGATATTCGTGCTCTAAAAAACTTTAAAATATGTCGTAAAGATTTTTAAAATATGCGCACAAACATTTAATCTGCCATTTAATAGTAATAATATTTTTTTGAAAGTTAAAACTGTTAAAAACTTAAAATCAAAATAAAATGGATGAATAATTTAAATAAAAGATTGATTTATTGGTCTTACTTTATTGTTAATTCAATATGGAAAATTAAATTTTTATTATTTTTTTTTTTTTAAATAAATGTTAAATGTCAAATAAAATCTAAAGATAGTAAAGATACTAAATGTGCAATATTATGCACTAATAATATGTAAATATATTTTAAACAAAAATTGAATCGAAGTATGGAAATATATAACATTTTTGATTTCGTCTTCCATAGGTCACAAAACAGATTTCTATTCTACTCTGCGACTTTTATTACCTATTAAAGGAAAAGATATGTAAATGCACGAACATCCGCCCTTTAGTTATATATTTAAACGTTAATCAACGATATTACATTTTTACCAATATCCTTAATGGAGCATTATCAGATTACAAACTATCGCTGTAATCGATAATATTGTATTTAATTTTTACATATTATTTTGTAAATTGCGTAGATAATTAACGAATTGTTTTATTTCGCAATACAAATACCAAAAATGTAAAGATTCTAGAACTTACACAATCAGTACCTCCCTAAAATTTCACACCACTGATTGACATAATATGTCATGCCAGTGCCACTCTGAATGTTGTGTACGTAAAAAATTACCTATGTGCCGTATGAAAAAATCTAACATTTACATGTAGAACGTGCTCAGTCCTTTTTTGGGAAACAAATAGTTTGAAATTATACAGTTTTAATTTTTCTATTATTAGGAGATCGTATTACACTTTAATTTTTCATACATTTTACACCAACAAACGTTGGTGATTTACACACACTCCGCAATGTTCGATTTTAACTTTTGATGTATTTGTTGACAAAATATCCATATAAGCCATTCAGGAAGTTGTTTTTCCATTTTAAATTTTTAATAACCTTAAAATTATGATATTAATCCTAATAATCCCGTGATATAATCACATTTAATTTGTATTTATTTTGAGCATGTGAGATTTTAAATAAAAAAATTAGAATTCTTAAATAGTTTAGTCTAAAAACTTATGAATTCAATCGCTTTTTTTTCGAACTTCGAAAAGTATGTTTGTTTTATTATTGGTTCTAGTAATTTTTATAGACCTGCAAACATAAATACATTTAATTTTCTAGGACGTGTTGACATTTGCGTAACCTCGCCATGTTTACATACACTACCAAAAGCGACAACGGATTTCACACATTTATGTTCAAATACTACTCACACATTCACACAGCTAAAATGTGTATGTCATATGAGTTGCCTGAATATTACTCCTTAAAACGTGTTACGCTCTTGCCCCTCAAACTATTTTTCTGTTCCCCTTAACTTTTTAACGGTCTTGTGGTGCTGCATAATAACGTTGTGTAATTGACGTTTTCATATTCATTAATATTTATAAATCCTGGAAAACATTAATGGTAACCCTGTGTATGGGCGAGGTTAGATATGGATCAATATAAAATTACAATATTAACCAAGCAAAATAAAATTTTTATTTTATTTACTCAGATTGTTTTAATAAGACTGCCGCAATACAATATCGCGCGTATACAAACAAACAAAAAAAATTATAATAAGCTTATAATAATAATGATAATAATAATAATAATAATAAATAATAATCAACATTCCCGAAAATAATACACATCACAATACAATTCATATTATACACAGTATAACATTATAGTATTAATAGTAACGATGATAAATTAATACTACCTAAAAAACAAAATATAGTGAAAATAACTTAATAGTAATAATAATAATCTATGTAATTATCATCTAAAGTAGGCAAGAATAATCGTGGTAGGTATGAAACCGTAGCGAGGAGCAGTGCGATCAGTAAAATATAATGGCGAAACCGATGGCGTTTATTGTTTTTGCTTAAAATAAACATCGTCCTCCCCTAGAGGATGTACGATGGCTGCCACAATTCATCCCCATCGCCGGAACGAAAATGCCGTAGCGATCGTTGTTTGTAAAACGACCAACCCCATGGTTGTGGTTCCGGTCGTCCGGGCGGCGCTGGAGGACGGAGACCGGGACACGTCGCCATGTACGCCGTTCGTGTATTTGTCACAGATGTTCTGCAAAGGCCAAAATTACAATGCATTATATTATAATGTTATTCAACACCAGTGCGTAATTTTAAAGGCACGCGTTAGTTATAAAAGTCAAATGAATCAAACGATTATTCATCCAACATATTGAAAAAAAATCTTTATCATTAGAAGTACATTCTAAAATGTACTGTTTTAAGGATATTGGCGATTGTATGCTGTAGCAGACGTATGTGCGGTGGTTAAATTGTTTTTAATTTTGATAAAACAAATACTTTTGAAACACGATGATTATAAATAGTCAAGAACTTTGCGAGCTTGTGAAAATTAAAATAAAACGCATCGCGTAAGTAGGGTATTATGAATATAATTCAATTAATATTATATATTTCTAATGTTTTACACAATTCTCAGCGTATAAATATATCAATTGTGTGTAATATACAACATCTATTATGGCGAAATACGAAAGATATTCATGGACGATAGTATGCTAAAAATGTTTACCTATTACTGTTAATTCTATTCCTAGTCAATTTATTCGACAGATAATCAACACTGTATTACATAAAATAATAATTTAAATAGTGTTAAATAATATAGGTAATCGACAACCGTAATTAACTGAGAACAACGTTATCAAGTACCTACTAAATTAGAAATACTGAAATTCTATTTTTTATTTTGAACTTTTCGAATCATTTATAATATACATATAATATATTACACATAAATTAAATGCAATCTGTACAGTAAAGAACACATTCTGTATACATTATGAGTTCTGCATTGTAAATAAGTTATTGTTTACTTCTATAACAAAGCCAAGTACAATATTTATAATAACATTGCTTTATTTGTGAAATCAATCGTTAAGGAATTAAATCATACAGACAATGGCTCCGACCACGGGTATCAAATGGGGTGAATTTCCCAGAACTATTTATGAGTGGGTCAGATAGACGGGGATGGTAATAAGTGATCACTGATCAGTATTCAGTAATCATATCTAAACATCATCATCATTTAATAATAATGGTAAGTATAAAATATAGGTAGAAATAGTATGGCAAATCATTAGATCATATAGGTACTATATTATATTTTCTATTATAACTATAAAATATATTTAAAAAAACTGATTATTATGTAATGTAATTACAAATTTTCTTTGATACTTGTAGCTTTTTGATAAAATAATACGATTAGGTATTAATTGTGTTTAAAAAATGATTATGTTATTGACGTATATATATCTAGAAATAAATAAGATAGGAGGTACTAGAACTAGATTGACAAGATTTTTTTTTTTAATGGATGGAACTTACACTAGCATTTTTTTCCTGTAATATGAAATATAGATCGGTGCCACCGCACACAATTTTAGTGATATTTTCATAAAAACGAAAACTCAAATCTACAATATAATTAACAATTGATAATCCTTACTGGTAACAAATATTGTTTTACATTTAAATAATACTATGAAGTGTTACGATTATATTGCTATTTTGTAGGTATTATTCCGATTCATCTCTATCTCGAAAAATAACTTTATTCCTATTTATGAAATACAAAAATGAAAAAGATGTGAAAATCACATTAGAAAGTTGGGCAAGTAGATTACCTGTAATGAATGTGTTTAGTTTGAGTTCATCGATAATACCTACATCAATGTATACAAAAAACGATTCTGAACGGAGACAATCTGTCTATCCGTATCACTAAGTATATTTCATGATGTTGTATTTTTTTATTAAAGCTACTAAAATAATTTATTTTATTATTGTCACTATGATGAATTGATTTAATCGAAAAAATTGTATAGTATTTAATTATTATAATAATATTCATTTAAACCATAATATTATATTATTATTATTATTAACTTTTAAAGTATGGTATTACCTTATCGTAAGGCAGCGTGAATAGGTTATAAATAGATATTATCTTAAAATACATTTACATATTTTAAAAATGTCATTACGTATAGTAAAATGTAAAGTATACGTAAAAATTCTTATTGAACTTTATGCAATAAACATTGTTATTCAGCATTTCCGTTATCATTCCGTTGTTTTAAAATGTACTGAAAATTTAAAGTATTTTTACTGCCTCAAAAAGTCACGACTGACACAAAAAATAAAAAAAACACATCATTGTTAAATTAATAAGCTCCGGTCAGAATCTCAAATAGGAAGTATTCTACTTTAATACTTTGCTTTACAATGAATATATTATTACTGTTTAGCATATGTGATAGTAAAAATAATTCTAATAAAAAACCTTTATTTTATAGAAAGTGCACTGTACATATTCATCGTTAAAACATACAATTTTGGAATTTCGACTTAACAAACAGATATTTTAAATTTACTGTTTGTACATAACATTTAATTTAACAGGTAACTGATATAATTTAATAAATTCTCACCAAAAGTGAAGATGCCATTTGACTAAGAAACTGACTAGCGAACTCTTCGGTCTGTTGACCACAAGTAGACCGGACAATACCGTGCACGCATTGCAAATGCCCTCTGAATGATCTGTTGATAAATTGGGAAAATTGATATTAGCAAATAGTTAATAAGTATGCAAAACTTCATCGTAAGACAACGATTTATGTAAAACACGCGGCCTGCAACTTATTTTTATGCGGCCCCGATCACATTGGAAAATTAAGTCAAAATATGCGGTCCAAATGAAAAAATAATAAAAACAATAAAATATTATAACGAATTTATATTTTTATTTTATTTTTTTTTTTTTTTGCAGCCTACAACATTTTTTGTATAAATGTTTTGTTCCAATTAATACTGTAAGTTTGACACGCCTGATGTACCTATGCGAAATTATAAAAAAAATTTCATTAAAATACCCGTACAAATTTATATTTATGTATAAAAATCATAAATATTTATTTAAATATAGGTTGTAAATTACGATACATTAATGATTATGCCGAAAGAACTGAAAATATGTAGGTACCTACTAAAAAAATTTAAGTAAATATTTTTATTTACATAAAATACACCGTCATATCTTTTATAATTATAGTAATTAATTTGATACATACATAATACATATATTTAATCTAAAGTATTGGTGTTTTGTATGCTAAAATTATTGTTTATCGATATATTGACTTTGAAATATAAATTATTTGTGTAATTATATGGTTTTATCAGAGCGGTCGTTTAAAATGAAGTCGATTGTCAGATATCTGCTGTGACATTGTAAAAACCGATCGTATTCCTATGCCATGTAAATCACAACGTTGTGAATGTTAATCGCGTTTAATGCGATTAATGCGTTTATTAAATTATCTAAGTAGAGCAGAATTGCAACGGTAAATAAACACGAATATAAATTAATGAAATTTAAAATTATCATTATCGCTGTAAATTATAGTTATTATCGTGTTTATTTTTTACTTTATTTACAATTATTTTCCTGTACACGGTTCTCTAAACGTTTATTCCTACATTATACTCGGCGGCAACGAATGCCTCGCATACCACATTCCCCGCATTCGTTGTAACCGTGACGATACGATATAGGTGTGGCGAAGAATTACACTCACCCACACAAGCGGGCCAGGTTCTGGGTTATCTGTTCGGCGCCGATGAACGGCGACGCGGTCGAAGCCAAAGCTCCGTCGGCTCCTGTTTGCTGCGTCTGATCTAGCATTAGGGCGGCCAACTCAGACTGGTGTCGACGTCCGCACTGCAAGTATTCGGTGTGCACTGTGCGCAAGCAAGCGGCGTGTTTCAAGTATTCTACGGGTGGAATGTACGTGGTGATAAAACGTTATACAACAACGCGATGACGACATTAAATAATATGTTAGACAGATACTGACCCTCCCTATATGGTCCGCCCTCGGTGCACAGTTCTTGCATGTCCAACGTCGGAACGGTGTACAGCGAATAAAAGGCTCCCCGTTGTTCTGGCGTCAAGCACCGACGGGTGAATACGTCCACGCAACGCAAATGTCGTTCCAAATTGTTGTACCTGTAGTGGTCGAAAAATAGGATTAAACGCATATAGTAATTACAATTTTCGATAAACTATACTAATATAACTTATAAGTATAGTTTAAGTAATAATAATAATAATAATATAAACTAATATTAAATACCTAACTTAACCTCCGGGGGGGGGGGGGGAAGACCTTTACATGTTTGAATGTTTCCTATCGCGTTCAAAATCAAAAATGCATTCAAATAATTTTGAATTTTGAATATCTTATGATTTAAAAATAAATGATTTATTCACTACAAAACTATATCGTTTCGCTGACTTGGTTTAAGTTTTATGAAATAGATTCACTCAGTAATGTACATACCTATTTTACTTATATAGCAGGGGTAAAAATAATACTCTGTTTCCTTCACATTATTACGCAAAGTGTACTACCGACCAATAATTATACTTTTCACTAAAAAGCACGAAATCAATCATCCTACTTTTTTAAATTTCTTCAACTTTTTCATTTTAAAATCAAATTTAAAGAGAGATAAATCTATTTGTTTTGTTCTTATCTTATAACTAGTTTTTCATAGCGATAGATAAGACAGATACGTTTTCGTAAAAAATAAAAACACCAAACGTAAAATCGAATTCTCTTGAAAAATGTTTCAAAGTAATTATTATAAGATAATGAAACGTGACACTTTAGTCATTGGTAGTTGTATGATAACGAAATCATAAAGAAACAAGATTTTCATGTGGGAAAACACCCAGCTAGAGCATAATGTTATTTATTGTTATTCTACGTCGACATCCGTCGTGCTGTTATAATAGATTCCTTTTTATTTCTATTTCGCGATAAAGAATATATACGGCATTACATTATCTCCAAAATAATAAATCGACACCTTATAATACTCGTATATTCTACAAATAAAACTATAAAGAAAAAACTAAAACGATATGTATAATATAATTTATATTTTAAATGTTACTGAACATTCTTATTTTTGTAATTTTTTTTAAAACTTTTGTATTTTTGTATTCTTTAAACGATGAATCAGAAGTACATAAAATTACAGGAGTCCCATCTAATAATTTTTAAATTGAAGCAATTTTAAAATTTATTTACTTTGGTATTATAATTACGCATATTTTACCGTAATTCACGTATATGTATGTATTCCACAATATCAATATTATGGATTTGACATTTCGTCAAAATGTCGGCTAATCTTGTAATATCCTAATGTAGCAAGAGGATCCGGTAAACGTAAAAGTATAGTCCCTTACACACTTTTACAAAGTTCTATATAATAATTTAAAATACCCGTCATCATTTTAGATATTATATGATAATATATAATATGTAATGTGCGATTGTCTATATAATATATACTCTTTAATAATTAGCCTTAACCGTATGGAGACCAGAATAATAATATTAATCAACTTTAAATTTTCATAACTTTAAAACTAAATCCAATTGTATTATGAGTTTGATTATCATTTAATAAGGTCTTAAACTACGTATGATAGATAAATTAACTTTTTCCACATCCCGGCCAATTTTTAAATACACTGGACTACTAGAGCGCCAATTATCTTTACGCCAATTACACGCATTAAGTAATTTTTGAAGAATATTTTAAAAATATTTTACATTTTTAAATTAATTATACTACGTACCTACTTTAAACAATATGCGTGCAATTATGCAATTATTTCATCAAATTAAACTTATACTTTAAATATACAGTACATAAATGTATTATTATCAATTAAAAAAAAAAAAAAAAACATTTTTTATGAGTTTTTAATTAGAATATTAACAATATTCGTCAAAATCGCAAAAACTTTCAAAATATTTCATAATTAAAAGTTCATAAAAACTTTTTGTTTTTTAATTAATTATTTTTTTTATAATTTAAAAATATTCATGAAGTTTAATGCTACGCAATTAAATTTCTGATTTATTCTAAGATATTATCTATATTTACTATTTTACAGTACTTGCAAAAAGATGTTATTAAATTTTGAGTTATATAAGTTGATGTTATGTGGTAAAAATAAATATTATAATAATTAAATATACTGATGATATAATAAATGTCATATTTTCGGGGAAAAAATATCAATCTACCATAATATTTAAAGTATAGTATAAGACTTTTTAGCTATTTTATGAAAAAAACATATCACAAAATATACTTAGTGATAGAGGATAACAGACCGTTTACGCTTAAAACTGTTTTTCTTAAACAATGATGTATCGTTGAATTCAAATTTAACACATGATATTGACATAACATCCATCATAATGACCCACTCGACTATTTTTTTAATCATTGAAAATCTTCACCCCCCCCCCCCCCCCCCCCCGAGACACCAATTAGTGCGAATAATCGACGCTCCACTGTACAGAGTTGATTTTATCTAATAATAATAATAATTTATAATGTTCGATTGTCGGTAGTCACTAACGGGCAATTGACGTCTTGCTTTATATCTCCGGCGGCGTCGGGTGCAACAGACGGTGGTGTCAGGTTAGTGTAGTTAAACAGCGGCAGCGTACGGCAGTTGATCACGGGACCGTCATCGCAGCGTCCGTATGCGACTTCGGACAGTTGCTGATGCTGCTGATCGGCGTTTACCAACAATTGTTGTTTGTCGTTGTCGACGATCGCGGCAGATTGTGTCAAAGTCACCAACGCTGCTACGCCTGTGGAAATAAACGGAAAGGCTGTTATTAAAACGTTATAAAATGAACTGGGTACGATAATATTGTTATCTGGTTGAGCTAACACCACTTGGGCACCTCATTTACTAAATGTATAATAAATTAACGTATAAAGTGGAACGAATGCGGTCGACTTTTCGAGTATAAATAATGAAATAAACAATCATTAGTGCAAGTCACATCCTTAAAATAATAACGATTAACTAGGTGCCGACCGCCCGAGTCGTTTTTTGGTAATAAAAATAAAATAAATATATATGGCATTTCTCTCACATGCAACTTGAGTCCAGAAGTCATTTTTATGACATATAGGTGTATTTGATAATAAAATCATCATTATAACAATAATTCGCTAACTCATTCGAAGGCGATTTAAAATTCCGCCGATTTAAAGGTATTTGACTTTAGGATTGGATTTGTAACGAGTAAAATTCCAACGGTACTTCCGTAATTTTAGCTTAAAAAATACGCTAACTCCGCTGATGGTAAAATCCACGGATTAAAAATAATTTTAGTATACGTATTTACACATTACATTAACTGTCGACTGTCTTATCTAAACAAAATTTCAACGACAGTAAATAATTAATATCATTAAGGTTTTCATATTGCATAATGAATGCGTTCTATAAATATTTTCGCAGGCACATTTTAGTTCGTCTGTCGATTTTAAGATAAATACATTAACCGAAATAATCAGCGGATACGACAAAGAGTTTGATTTATTTAAATAATTGTAAGCTGTAGAAACAAATAATCTCAAAATATGATGAAGAAAATTGGAGGCGTGGAAACAAAAAGTATTCCGCCGTTTTAAAAACAATTTATTCTGGAAATTATCGAACATTAAAACATTCTAACAAACATCACTATAATAATATAATCATAGAGTGTTAACAGAAAATACAGTTCAATGGCAAGTATTAAGTATTGGTGCAAAACGAAAGGGAATAGAAGATAATTGTAAATCAACAATGAATCAAACTCACATTAAGCCTGAAAATTTGAAACTTGTTAGATTCGCAGATTATATAATATTAGACATCTACATCACAAAAAAGCATTATTTCCACAAAATATTTGGGTTCAATGCAGCGCTGAATTTAATTTAACTACGATTACGTCGTTTTAATCACATTGAGTTAAATACACTGAAAACACACACCCAAATATTAATTACTTTACAAAAACTCTTAAATATTAAATTATTCGCTTATATATTAAATTAAACAGCATTAACAAATTTAATAACAGAAATTCTCAATCAAAAGCACGCCAAAAATATTTAAGCGTCATCATTTGGTCATTCGAGAAAAAATATATTAGCATTGATTTAGTTACTAACTACTGATTATTAAATTTATTTTTTTAAATTTATTTAAAAAAATATGTAAGTATTCAAATATTCTAAATATATGTATGAATAATAAATCCATACATAATGATTTAGATACCTATCACTTATATAATGTTAATTTTATTTTAGGAAAAAAAAACGTACCAGTGGAATTTACATAAAAAAAAGGTCACAATCGGTGTAATTTAAATGTGTCTAAAATCGTTGCTATATAGGCTGAAAAGTCAGACAAAATTATTTATATTTAAAAGTTAAAATGTTTCTATTTTAATTTTGAGTACACGCTTAATTTATTTACGCTTTTTGTCGAATTATAATAGGAATAAAAAACTCATAAATTTATCCGTAATGTTATGAAAATATATGATTGTATTTTTGAACAAATTCACATAATGTCTTTACATAACGCAGTGAAAAACCTTAAAATTCAAATACGTTTACAAAATTGAAATCAAATCAATAAAAAAATAGTTTTATATAATTTTGTCTGACATCGTAGTTAAAAGTTAAGCGAATAATCATTATGTCGTATAACACAATAAAATATAAGATTACCAAAAAACAGGTTAGTTGTCATTAAAATCGTTATGTCGACTAATCGATTATTCTCAATAATGTCCATTGTTTTTTACACACATACTAGTGAACAAATAAAATGCTTATATAATAATTTTATTTCATTGCCTATTTCAAATTCGAGTTTTATTTTAAATCCGATAAAATGTCCATTTGTCCATCTGTGATTTATTATACACAACATTTTTATTGTGATTATGATTTACGTTCTAAGAAAAACAGTGTAACTCAATTCATGAAAAATGTTTTTCATACGTGTATAGTATACATTGTATACTGTATATTTCAGTTAAAAAACCCAAATTAGTTTAAAATATAATCGTTATTATAGGAAAAATTATAGTTACGCTGTAAATCAACCCTAAATTTTATGTTATTTTATAATATACTTTAAAACATAAATAATGTTTATCAACTAATGTCATTTGAACATTATCTAATATGATCAATCATTTTATAAATATAATGGTTAATCTTCATATTTAAATAATCACCAATAACGATTTATAAAGACAGGGCAATTTTATTAATACTTTAATATATTATTATATAGTAACGTATTTTTAACCAAATGTCGACTTATAGTATACATTTACTCTAAGGCATAAATTAGAACTCTGATGACGTAAAACTCGTGGGATCGAAAAAAGTCTGTTTCGGCAAATTTCTATTTTGTACGCAATGTCTGAAAGTTTAAAAAGTTTATTTGGTTTTATTATTTAGAACAAACTATTTTAATATAATATCGTCATTCGTCAAGTAAGTTTTGAAATATATATACTATGGCACTATGTTGCGTATTATTATTTTATTATTAACAAAATGTGTGTTATATTAATAATAAATAACAATTATTATACTGTTACTAAATATTGTAATAAAATATTGAGTAAAAATACTATTAAAATGCACATAAATTGTAACTAAATGGTACATTATAGGTGGTATTAAGTTGCGTAGGTATTCGATAATAATACCAAATAATTTATTAATCTGTATTTATTTGTATAATAAAACTATATTGAAACTCATTAAGGATTTTAGTGTAATTCTCATTTTATCATCAGTTTTATTGGTATTTATAGCGATTAAATATGTAATTTATTTGGATTCGATGTGCATATTCGCTGATAACCGTTATATTTTTACTTTTCATACAATCGTTAAGTATGAAATCAAATATACTGTACATCAATATATCATCGATTGATAGCGTAAGTGTAGTACCATTGATTATAAATGGTATCTAATTAATGGTAGTAAGAGCGAAGGACAACATAAGGATTTGAAAGCACATAAGGGCATCGAACAACAAAAATCAAATTTCTGCTTGGAAGTAAAAAAAGTATATATAAACCATTTTGTCTAATATATAATATACTATTTTTGATATAAAATTACGCGATGATTAATGAATCGAATAACTATAAATCTACGTTTTTACTGCAACTTACCTATATCAACAAAACCTTAGTTATGTGTAATACTTGAGCCAGGGTTACGAAATATTTTTTCAATTAAAGTGAATGCGAATGCAACGTAAATAAAAGTCTATCAATTTAATGCCGATAATTATAAACTTTTTAAATATTAATCTATAAATCAAAATAATTAAATTCGGTATTAAAATAATATCAAATAGTGTATTATTAATTATTATCATTTTTATGTGATTGGTGATTAGCTATAATTTAAATTTCACAACATTTCAGTTTTAGGAATAGAGTTTTTGTTTTAAGCGAACGAAATAATAAAAATACTTACAAACAATAAAGTTTTTATTGAGTAATTTTAGTCATTAGTATAAGTATAGTATATTATTAAATAATGCATGTATGGATTTTTATTGCATTGTATTAATTTACATAAAATAACAAGTTAACTATCGTTTAATCGAGGTGATATTTGTTTTTTTTTTTTTTTTTACTGAAACATCAATGAATAAATAACTAATAGGTATTTGTATACTTTAATAGTTGTATTATAACTTTGCATTCACCTTGATTACAACAAAATAAACTTGAATATAATAATAATAATAGACAAAATTCTGGTTTTAAAATTAAAACCTATTCTACCTTAATCTTGTTTTACAAAAAAACAAAAAAAATAATAATTGAGGAATTATAATGTTCTTATTGAGTATAATGATAAATATCATTGTATATCGATGTATTTATGTATATAACAAAAAGCATATTAGATATATGTTATGATATAATAGTAAATTAATGTTTAAGTATAATGACTAAAATACCTTTTTAAAAACGAAATAACAAATATCATGAATAATATATTATAATAATTATGAAATACATTCTAAAACTTCAATATAAAAATAATAGTATAATACTTATAATTTACATTGTACAAATCATTAAGTTGAACGCACGTCACGACGTGATCGCGATCATTTTCCATAAATATTATAAATTGTGAATGTGTGAAATATTAATGGTACTTATTCAAAGTAATTAAGTATTATTACTTCACACCAAAATGATTAAATCATGAATTAGCAAATAACTTTTACTCGTTAATAGTTGTTCGTCATTACTACTATCAGTAAGGTCCTAGGTATTGGGATTTATACGTAGTTATTAATATAATACAAAAATAGGTTTTTATTTAAAGGAGTTAATGAGTATAATATTATATTATAGTGAAAAAGTTCATGAAATAATAAAATTATTGAGTAATTTAATAATATTATGATAATATTTCAGATATTATCCATTTAATCTATATGTATAATATTATATAAACACGGTTATTTTAATCATACTAGCTCTGTATTTAATAACTTCTAATTTTCTAATTAGTTAGTTATTATATATTCTATAGCTTATACAATATTCATAATTACCGCATGTACGCATCAACTGATTGTGTAATCATACAGTAACAACCTTGCCAAAATATGATTATAAAGATCGCTAATAAAAAAATAAATACCTAGCTGCTAAATATCCGACTGAAAAATTGTTTGAAAAGTTAAATGTCTTGACTAGAAAAATGTATACCTTAAAAAATGTGCCATATATTAATA